TCCCATCGTCAGGGGATTTGCTCTCTCGCTCCTAAACTCGAGTCGCCACGGCAACATCTCGCCCGACGATGCCCTCAGAGTCACTTCAGGAAATGGCACCCAATTCGTGAATTCCGGAGGGAAAACGAGATTTTTTGCATCATCCATCCCTACCATGACGAGATTGATGAATGTCTTGATATTTGACAGAAACAAAATATTTATTTAAAAAAATATAATTAAATTAATAAACTCTTCCTTCATTTCTGTGTTTTTCTGTTGGTTTGCAAGCAAAGTCTGGGAAGAGATAGCTTTAAAAAAAAAAAAAAGCACGGTTGAGCGGCGCAACAGACCTCTAAGGTAAAAAAAAGAAGAACTTGTTTCATCTTAGAGATAACTTATGAAGAGAGCAGAGGAGAGCCATGATACTTCCTCATAATCGGCAAATGACGTCCCCCTAATATGCAACGAAATCAAGCTGTGAGCTACTTGCAGGTGAAATTCTGGATGGACAATAAGGATTTACTTTCTTTTTTTTTTCTTCAGCAGGCAAGAATCGATCGATAAAATTACAGTCTGGAAGTGCGAATTATTATTTAGCCAATTATGCGCTTTTGTAATGCATCGCGTTCTTGTCTGAAACTAAAAAAATTGCGCATGGAGCATTTGATGGCGGTTGGAAGTCGCATCATTTTTCACGACTGGGCTGTAACTTAAACCGAAGAGACAAGGGACTCGGTCATTGAGTAGGATTTCAATGCACATATATATATTTTTTCCTGATGCCAAATTATTTTCTCATGGTCTCCGAGCACTAATCATATATGCGAGGGCCTTGCTATTGGAGGCATAGGAAACAAGAGGAACGAGTTCTAAATGAGTACTGAATACAATAAGTGCTGGAAAGGGCGAACAATAAAACTTCAGGTTGTCATAGAGTTATTTCGACCAGCGAGGCTCTAAAGGACTTCCTCGAGTTTCATTTTGGGAGTACTACTTCCGAAGCAGTACCAGCAGCGCCAAAAGTACTTTGAAGCGGTGAACCGCCGCCCTTGCAGGAGGATGTGCACGGGAAAGGGAGGTACTGAAAATTTCAGTCAACTCTTGTTTGTTCGAACGGCAGTAATTCTGAGTAGAGGAAACGGTGCCGGCGGAAATCCAATAGAACTTACTTTGAAGTTCTTCCTTTTATACGGATGAGTTCTCTCGTCCCCTGGGCCGTTCTTCCTGTTAATCCGGTTGCCAGAAGAAAGATAGGAAGAAACAGGAGGGAGAGAGAAAAAAAAAAAACAACTTTATTTCCTTCGATTCCCTTCCTGGAATCGAGTAATAGGGATTGCTCTCATTGAAACTTTTTCTCCTCTCTCCTTCCCGAGCCGACCCCGTCGCGGTCATTAGAGCCTCGACAAGTTTCTCCGTCGGGTGCAAGCGGTCTCGTCGCGGTCCGACGCCGGATTTTATGGCGGACTCGTTTATCGGATTTCGGTTCGATATTTGATACGGTTCGGAGTGGGAACCGACGTTATTCGCGCAATAAATTCCGGATTGCCGGAGTTTATGGCGTGAATTAGTGCCGGAAATAAGTTTGGGATTTCTTGGGTGACGTGCACCACATCGGTTTAGGAGCTAAACTGATCGGATTCCAGGAAAATATGTTTAAGAATGAGCTGAACTCTTCGTTAAACTGATTTGCGACATGCACCAAACGTAATCAGTTTATTTCTCTCTTAAATTAATCTTCATAGATAAACCTGTTATCAGGTTTTTTTTTGTCAGGTTTTTTAAACGGATTTTCAGAGGCAGTTCAGCATGCTGTTATCGGCCTCATTTTTCTTGCCTCTCGTCATCTAGCGACGGTGAAATGAAAACTAATGAAGAGATAGAAGTTTTTGACACGATCCTGAACCAAACTGCCCCATCAGCGACCGGCAGATGGTCCCTGGGGCAGTTTGGTTCTTAAACCTCTTTGGTTCTCTTTGGTTCTTAAACCTCTTAAACGGTTCAATGGAGACGAATCCCGAAGGAGGTTTCGTCTTCCCGCGGACACCGTCGCCAACTCGGACGATGGAGCAGCAGCTCCAGCGTTTTCAGCGTTCTCAGCGTTCTCGTTCTCGAGTGCGGCCGCACCGCCTTTAAATGTGTTTAAATCGTGGATAAACGTGTTCATGGAAACCGATGTGATTTTCATTGGTGCATGTCAAATATCAACACGTTCATCAACGTGTTTTAGTAAACGTGTTCATCTCGTCTTTAAACTAATCCGATTCCTGAATCGGCGCATGTCACCCCTTCTCTGTGACTGCTCGAAAGAACTGATCCATCGATGCTCATTCGTAAAAAAACAAAACAAACCTGATATAAATCAAGGCATTTCGCAGCACATAATTAGCGCTCCTCGGCAGAAGAAAAAGAAGAAAAATGAGCGGAGGCTTTGAGACGTGTCGTAAATCTGAACAAAATTGCCGGTCCCCTCAAGTCCGGACTAACGTTCTAACTTAACGTACTAGCCGCCATTGGCCTGCCGCGGATTTGCACCATGTGGGACAGCCCAGCCTCGACGACAAAAATGCTCATCTCAGATGCAGCGGCATTCCTTTTTGGGAAGGCTGAAGCGTTCATAAGTGGAGGGCGAAGTTTTTTCCAGCAGGGGGCGAGACGGGCGAGTCTCTTCGGCGCACAAAGCGCTGCGTCATATTCCCCGATCGCAAAAAAAGGTGACGATTCATGGCGAAAATAAGTGTCAGTGTGACGCGAGCTGCGCATTTTTCGTCTGTTTTGTCCGACAATCGGGTAGTATGCACGGAGAGGATTACGTAGTTTGTGAGTTTGATCGTTAAGGAGGACGAAGCTGATCCGATGGGAAATGACAAGCACAGAGGCAAAAGGAGTGGCATAGAAGCCAGCTGATGGCCATAGGACTCAGAGAAACTCCTAAATTGTAGTCGCAACCGATGGATTTTCCAAAGTAGCATCTGACGGAATTTCTATAAATTCCTTCGTCACGAGAATTTCTTCGTGCATTGCGATGCAAAAGACACGCAGAGCCATTACTCCGTACTTTTCGGTCGAACCACAAAGCAATGATTCCAGAAAGACTCTACTCCCATCGATTAATCTGGTTAATTTGGTTAATCTGACAAGTGAAACCAAGAGAGTAGTTGGAAAGCCTCTGCAGAGAGCGGGATTGCATCCGTTTGATCCCAAACGAGCTGATGCAGTACGAAATTCCAGAGAGTAAAGGATCATTGGGAAGCCACAAAAGGGAATGGCTTGTCCCATGCGAGAAGTCTCATTTCGTGAAATGCATTTTTACGATGCGCAAGCGCCGACAATATGTCCACTCACTGCTGGGAATCCCAAATGCTTGATGGCTTTCGTGAGTGTTTTACTTGGGGAATAGGCCATTCGTCTTCCCGGCGATTATGACCCTGTGCGATGTATGCCGTGAGCTCTCGGATGAGTGAGTTGCATCTCCCCCCTTGGGGGGGAGGAAGGCACGCAATTTAGCCTAAATGGCTACTCCAGGAACGTGGAACCCGTTGAATAATCTCCATCGGGATCTCAACGCGCCACATTAAGACACGAGATGCGGCGCGTCACAGGGGTCTCCTCCCCGAACGGCACCAGTCTGAAAGGCACCGTGGGCTCAGCCGGTTTTCAATCCATCCATTCACTCCCCTCGGTCATTCGGTCCTCTATCGCCTTAGCTCGCCCAGAGGCTCGTGATTTCCGCTGGTTTCGCGCCGATCCAGTGTCGTGCTGGCTGCGTCGCTCGGTGGCCTGTATGCTAATTTTTCATGCCGATGAGTCCGGATGACGAATTCTTGCTTCGTACCCCGCGGTGACGCCGGAAATGAAACCTCTCAGCTGAAGACACCTCGGGTATTTTGTTTCGCAAACACGCTGTGCCTTTCACACCCCATGAAATAGAATTTCCCGCGCGTATTTCAATCACCAAGGATCTATTTTCTCTCCTTTCGCCGGTAGAGCAGTACCTGTCGCAGAGAAGTCGAGTCGGTCGTGAAATGGACACAAATCCTTCTCACTTCGTTACGAGAAAGTGTTGTACTAAGTTAATCCTCAGAAGTCCAGTTCTTCGGTGTTTTTTTCTCTCCCACCGTAATGCGAAGGTTTCCATTGGATTGAGAATTCGTATTCCTCCCGCATTCACGTCGCTCCCCTAATCGTTAAGGGACCCCTAACTCAAGAAAGTTAGGGACCCCCCCCTAGATGTTCCGTACTCGCGTTCCTCCCCTATCTAAGGGTTCCTTAAACTCAACTCCATTAGTAGAAGCTAAGGGAGCTTCCAGTTTTCCCTTCTAGAAGCCTGCGTGTTCGATGCTCTCTGTCTCTGGGAGCACCTCATTAATCCATTTTTCTCATGGCATTTCGTCTCTTTTGAGAGTAACTAAGGATGGAAATTTCCCCCCCCCAAAAAAAAATAAAAATAAAAATCAATTTGTCCTTTCATTCACGTTGTCCACTTGAAGGATGATGTCGTCAAGTAACTCTGAAACTCACTGCTGTTATCAATATATAGAAATCACAGCAAAAATTATATCTCCCACTTCAAGTTTGAAAAAAAAATCTGTGCTCTGTCTATAGCTATCACCACGAAACTTGCGCCGAGCCTAGGTTGATATGTTTTCAAGAGCTTTCTGAGATTTCATTGAAATGCCTTATGGCGAGTCAAGGCTATCAGTCATATTTCAAAGATGTTGGGAACCATTGCAGTGGACCGGAGCGCGTGCTGGTAGTTTAGCAGGGGAAACGCCTTCGTTCTGCTGTTTGCATGTCATGCACGTCATATCAAACATTTAGTGCATTAAAATTTAATCGTTGGTTTGCCTTATGCTGGATATAGTTTTGATAATGTTCTTTTAGAATAATGACGGATCGACAGCTGTTAATACAGAGTTTTTTTTGTTCAATGACCATTTATTGTACAGCATGCCCTTTACAGAAAGAGGATACAAGATGGGAAGAAGTGGAATATACAGTTTCGGGTTATAGAAAGGTGGCTATTCTTCAATAGTGGTTAGAGTCCAGGTCTTGGGGTCGTAAGGTGGAGTGGAGGTCTTGGGGTTGGGTGGGTCCGCGGCCAGCCACCAGGTGGTGTTGTCAGGCCAGGGGTTGCTGAGGGAAGTGAAAGATATATCACACGGCATGGTCATTGTGGGGGTAATTTTTCTTGTTTTATAGATTTTTATTTTTATTTTTATTTTTATTTTTATTTTTATTATTTTTATTTTTATTTTTATTTTTATTTTTATTTTTATTCATTTTTATTTCATTTTATTTTATTTATTTATTTTTCAATTTTTATTTATATATATATATATTTTTTTTAATAGTAATGATTATAGGGTCAGAGGTCAAGTTTTGTACAGCTAGAATAGGGAAAGGTTTGTGCGTCATTCACACATGCCATTCACACTTCCTTTCGCTCGCACATTCAGTCAGTTGCTCACTCAGTCATACACACATGCATTCACTTATCAAAATGTGGGGGATTGTGGGGGAGTGACTTAGCTTGGGTCATGGTCTTGAAGTCATCCTGTGTGTAGGTGTTGCAGATTCTGTAATTTAGGACAGCTTGGAGAGACAGTCCTGGAAAGATAAGTACATCACATTTTAGACTATGAAATAATGCGGGTTAAGAGTGCAGCTGGGACAGGGGGAGGGGGGGGGGGGGGTCCCTGGCCATCCTCCGCTCTACGGTTTAGATTGAATAAAGGGTAGGTCCTTACTCTTTTATGCTTTCTAAATTTAATTTGCTTGTTGCTGGTTACCCTGATGTTACGGATATCATCCGGGCGCTTAGGGTCTTCAAGGTGGTAAATATACTTCTTAGAGACATAGCCTGGGAGCCTCAGTGCATACCTGATGGCTGCTGTTTCTACTGTCTGTATTCTTGAAAAAGCAGAATCAGAACAGTTAGCCCAGGCTGCATGTCCATAAGTGAGAACCGGCCGAATGAAGGTCTTATAAAGGTGCAGTACTGTTCCTGGATTACATCTGTTGGTCCCACTTATCATCCTTAGACAGTTGAGTTTGCGTCTAGCTTTATTTCTGAGATTTGCAATGTGTTTAGTCCAATGGAAGTTGTTTTGGCAGAGTTTGCAATAAGGCCCATATTTATGTCACTCTCCCAGGAACAGCATATCGTAACTTAGGGGATCCCTAGCTAAGGATTTCCCTAAAAATGGTATTCACGTCGGTCTGTTAGGGGGTCCTTAGCTAGGGAATCCTTTAAGAAGATGGAGGAGATGGCGCATGCGATGGAATGCTTTCATCTTGGTGGCCTCTTAGCCACACACTCAAGTCAGAGGACTCATAAATTGATTTTTTTTTTTTCTGTGAGTCTGACACTTTTTTGTGACTGTGATACCCAGTTACAGCACTTCCCATGAATTAATGGCAAGATCAAATGAAAACGTGTCCTACTCGTCTGAAAAAAAAAATTGTAGTTGACCTGATAACTTCTCATTGTTTCGTCTAAAAGCTTCCATTGTAATGATTTTCTTCGCACTGGCTTGAGTATCGGCCTCGGCCCAGGCGGGTAGTCAATGCTAATGCAAAACAAATTACTTATATTCAATTAAAATTTTTTAATTTATATTATTTCATCCTTCGTCAATGTTGCATGTTGCTTCTCAACATGAATGCAACTCGTATGACTGGAGTGTCAATCAGATGATAAAATACTACAAGAGCATGATCTATGTCAGTGTTATTGTCTTTTTCCTGATCTCCTTTCCGTAGCCTCTTATTTTTAAACGATGCAATGGATACAGACTGCAGGGTGCTGTCTGTCTGTTGATTTAATAATAATACTACAAGGTGTCCATAAAGTGACTACCTCTGGGCAACTTTTTTAAATACTGGATCTGAGGGAACCAACAGTTTTTTTTTGTAGGCTGTTTATCATTAGACCTCGGAATATTGTCACATCTTTTGCTTCTACACTCTAATGCAGCGGTTCTCAACCGCTAAAGAGTTCAAACACCATATCTGTGAAATTAATTCTCGCCCATGGCAAAGTGGAAGGAGGAAAGGTCTGACACTTTTTCCGAGGTCGGTACGTCGTCAGCCTGCAAAAGTTACAATATGGCTACCTCAGGGTCTATTTAAAAAATTCGCGCATAGGTAGTCACTTTATGGACATCCTGCATTTCATGAGGGTAAGAGGTAAGAGATCTCGCCTGTGTTCATACAGTATATGCGAAAATATCGAGCTTAGTGCATGAAAGAATAAGAACCCCGAGGCGATCTGGGGGTAAACGCTTTTAGCAAGACCGTTCACCCCGAAGCTATCTGGGGGGAGGCTAAGGAGGTTAAGGAAGTGTCTGCGGGTTATCGGGCGAAAAGAGAACGCCTGAAACGTATCCTGTCCCATTTAACATGAGACTGACCGCTTCCAAGCGGTCAGTCTGCTGGGTCAACCGAATCCTGCGAATCGATTGCCTTCTCGGCTTCTTTCTGCGAGTGCAAACCGTACGACTCTTCCTACCTTCGTCAGTTTATTTATCATTCATCTCTTAACGAGCAAATTAAATGGCTTGATAAATAATTAAGATAAGCCTCACAAGATGAATCGTGGAAATTTCTTCAGAAACCCAAAGAGCCGAACCAGCATGAAGCTCGCGATAGCCCTCTGCCTCCTCTCTCTTCTCACCCTCCTCCTCCTGGACGAAACCTACTGCCGTCTCGTCTGGAACCTCCAGAGATGCTGCCACAATCGAACGAGCTGCAACATCGTGTGCCTCCTCGGACGGAAGAAGAGGGGCGTGCGGCCGATGGAGCTTCCCGCGGTCGCAGGCGCGTCCCGGGACGTCGACGGGTGGATCTCGTTCGATGGAGCACCTTGCGTCGAATAGGTCCAAGAACTTGTCGAAGTTTTAAGCTCGTCGGGTTCACGACTGTGTTGATTTCTGACCCATTAACCGTTTAATAAATTTTAATTCAATTGTTTGATGATAACTGCTTGTAAAATTTGAGGAAATGTTATTATTCATATTTTTAAAATGCGAAACCATTCCTGCAATATCGTTCCCCACCCCTTGCGTACCCAATTACATCTGAGCCAGGCTCGAAGCCTGATCTCTCGAACGGCACGCGGATGTTTTACTCAGTCAGTCGTTCCGTCGGCGAGGAATCAAGATCGATCCAAGGACCAATTTGTACGTGACATACGTCATCGGGTCTTGCGCGGAGCCGACGAAGGGAGGGGGGATGGATGCAGCCTCGGGGGCCAGCTGATGACGCTTTCCTGCGAATTTCACTTCACTCCGACCCCGTCCTAGCAAAAGCTCCACCGAACGTGTCACCGTTCCATCCGGTGATAAGATCTGCGTCGGTCTCAGATGGCGAAATCGATTTGAACATCGGCATCACGTGTTAGCACCATCGCGTCGAGACGTTTCCGATGCACTGCCGCATCATTTGAATCGAATCGAGTTAAGGGCGGGTGCATGATGATGTCTCCGGCTTTTCCTTTTCCGTTGCGAAGCGAAGACCTTTGGGAGGTCGGAAAAAAAAAGAGCCGCAGGGGAGAAGACGAGACATCCGCGAGCCCGAAGCGCCTTCCCCTCTCTTCCCGCATTTCTTCCCCCGTGTCTGTCGCGTGATGTGCACTCTAGTGCGTCCCTGCCCCTAGCCTTCCTACATTGCCGATTGAACTTGTGCAAGTGCAAGCCCCCACCTCCTTACTTCGCCTCCCGAACGAAAGTTCGAACGAGGTGGATTTTACCAAATGTAAACGTTTCGTGCACTCGCCCGTGGGAACTTGGTGTTTCTCACGAGAGAGGACGACTCATCGTCGCTCCGTTTTCTCCGATCGTGCACCTCGGATATCACCGTAAGCGAACGCGTGTTGTTTCGACTCGGAAAAAGAAGTTACGACGTTTGTTCCTTTGGTTCTCGGAACGATGGAAGTCATTTCCGAAAATTCATTTTATTAGTGAGTTTTTTCCATCGATTTCTACTTCCACTGGATTCGTGTCGAAACTCTTCTCGGTCTTTCCCTTTTCACCGTTGCACGTTGCCTCGTGTCTGTTGCAACGATCTCTCATTTCTAAGGGCCGATTGCATCTCTCATTTTAGACATTGATTATCGAGGGTCACTTTTAAACATTTCACACACGAAAATATCGATTAACCCCTGTTTACTTTCGATTGCAAACGATCTCAAAGCCGTGTTTTCAACTTCTTGGTAATAGGCTTCGGACTCCGCAAAGAAATATCGGGCGGTCGAGTGAAAAAGAACCTTTCCTCTGACGATAAATAAGCTCTCGCAGAACTTGCAAAGGAGAATCCAGCGATAGAAATGCACTCTCCTTGCATTGTCTTTTTGTCGTCATGTCTTATGTTATTGCATTCCAGGCATGGTTATTCCCCACAAGAATAACCATGCCTGGAATGCAATAACATAAGACTAGAGAGGAAGAAATACTCTGCATTTCGATGCGTTCTACCAGGGTTTTAACGCCGAGGATTCGAAGAGAAGTCGGAAATGTGAAGCCTTTGCGGTTGTTAAAAGTTGGTTGGGCATTCGAGTATGGCAGTCGTCGATGGACGCCGATCGTTCCTGAATCGTTCCTGGATCGTCGATCGTTCCTGGAAATCCAGCAGTATCCAATAATTTTCTTCGAACGTCGACTCCATTCCTCCTCCTGGGAATGTAATGAGCGACGCAAATGAGCTATGGCCATTCCATTTCCAGGAACCGACGCGACATTACCCTCCTTAGCGCTCACAGAGGAATTTTTCGCGAAAGTTCCACGCACGAGCATGTCTCCAACTTATCCTCAGAACTCGTCGAGGCGAGGCGAGGCGAGGCGAAGCGAAGCGAGGCGAGGCGAGGCGAGGCGAATGCCACCATCAGTCGTCGAGAACGCGTTCGACATCGAGAATGGACGCGAACATCCGCTGGCCGCGGAGACGAGGGCGGTCGAGGTCCTTCCCGTCATTCCAGACGTCGTCCAACTCCTTTCCGGTTCGTTCTTTCGGCTGGTCGTCTCTCTCTCTCTCTCTCTCTCTCTCTTGCAGATGAATATCAAAACAGGTTTGTTTTTCTGAATTTCATTCAGAATTTTCCTGGTTTTTGGAATGAACTATCCATTTTAAGTGTCAGACAAAATCGTTCATAACTTTGATTTACGTTAATGCCTTCTTGACTTTCAAATGAATTTAATGATGTTACGTTCTCAACAAGCTTTTTTAAACATACGCTCGAAGTCGGCCTTTTTTGTTCCACCAAGCAGACTCAGGCTGACGGTAACAAAGGGAAATTCGGAATTTATCAATTCATTGATCGATCCGTCATTCATTAGGAATATGTTGTGAAAACCACATGACCAACCCACGCGATGAGTTCAAGCGGTAGAGGAGTTTGGCTCAGGATTAGGATTAGGATCAGGATTAGGATCGGGATTAGGATCGGGGTGCTGCTCCAGCGGTTCCCTCCGCTTCGCTGCCCTTTTCCATTCTCGATGCTTAAGTTCTTTTGAGTGACTGCTGATGGTGCTGCTTCAGCTGAACACATTCTGATGACGTTTTCAACACATTCATGTATGCTTAGTTGCGAACGACTTTTGCAAAGTTTTCCAGAAATTGTTCCTTTATGAGCAAGATGTTTTGATTAAAAGTCGTTGATCTTTTTTGCAAGAAAATAGTATGTTCAGTACATTTCCAACTAAGTAAATAAACATTTTCCGATTTGTCCACGTAAGCATCGTGCACGTGTGCATCGTGAACGACACCTTCGGCGAGAGGAAAATTCAATACAGGAGTTGGGGATTGCGGCGATGAACGATGGGGGAAGGGAAACAGAGTCTCTTAGATGTGGACCGAGCCATGTCTAACATCTGTTGGATATTTCCCGGATCGTGACCCAGGAACGATTTTCCCAGATTTTCACCGTGGCGGCACGTGTGAACGTTCTGGAGGTGTTCACGGTTCACCCGTTTCCGGTCGAGTGTTCGATCGGCGGAAAAAAATGGCATGAGAACGTCGATGGCGTCTAGTAATTATTGCTTGTAGATGAGTACGTATGAAAGCTTTCGTTTACTGTTATTTTCACCCCCATCTCAATCAAGGACCGCTGGTGGGGTTTCCAGATTGACAAAAGGGCAAATGGCCATCCCATCAATAGGCGCTTCCACGCCAATTCCCTTTCTTGAAGTCCTTCGCGATTAAGAAATCCGCCTTCTCAGAGCAATAGGAAGAACGAATCAAGGCTTCCATCCCCCCATCCCCCCCCCCCCCTCCCGATAACAAAGAGTGAAACCAGCGAATTTGAGTCGCCATTAACCCCGGGGATGCGGAAGGAACAAGATCTCATTTCCTCTCAGCGCTTGATGCTGACGGGAAATGGAGATGCGGAATTGAGGAATCCGATCGAGGACGATGGGCTTCCGAGTATCGCGTACAGGGTATGCCAACAAAAAGAAAACCCACGACAAACAAACCTATTACTGCGGCTATTTTGCACCCGCCACGAGCTGCGTCTGCATGGGATCTCTGAAATTTCGCTTTAAAGAAATACCAACTTCACGATTATTACCGAAAAATGCTTGGAACCCGAAAAGAAACTGAGGGTCCCCCTACCGAGGGCGAGGCAGGATTGCATTTGGATTATTTCAGAACTTGCTGTGGCGGAGGGAATTTTGATCAAATTTTCGCATTTTGTTCCTGTACAAAATGGCTCCTATGACTGTAGAATCATTAAGATCAAAAGCAAATTTTTGTTGCCATTCCCTGTTGCCATCTCCCACTGGAGCCGTTCTCACGAAACTCGTGCAGTGAGTGGATTGATGTGCATCCAACAGACCAACTCGTCTCTCGTGTGTTTCGGTTAGCCTTCGTCGGCCTTCGTCACCCTTCTGTGATATATCACGGAAGGACCTGGGATGCCACGGCCTTTCGGATCGCCGCGGTTCGTCCTCGCGTTGCAGTCGCGCCAACGATCGAGGAAATCGGAGTCGAGGCTTTAGTGTCGCGGCGAGGAAGCGCCATTTCCGGAGATTAGCGTATTTCGAGCGTGGGAAATGACAGTCGTTCTAGGACGCGTCTGGGTGTTATCGGGCAGAGAGGGAATAGCAGGAAGTATCCGGTCCGGACTGGATATAAAAGTGATCTGGGTCTGCTCGGCCAGCCGATTCCCTCGCGTACTTTCCTGTCATTACGACGCTTTCTTTCCGCAAGTGCTCGTCGTCCGAATCCACTGCTTCTGTGAGCCGTCGAGAAGCGGCCTGGCCATCATCAAAAGCATTCACCACCATCATCAAAAGTCTCATCATCATCATAAGCACTCACCGGTGACTTTTTTCCGCGAAGCCGCAGAAACGAGCATGAATCGCGTGACGTCCCTCTGCCTCCTGTCTCTCCTCGTCCTCCTCCTCGCGGACGAGGCCCGCTGCCGCCTCGAGCGCCGCAAGATATGCTGCATCGACCGCAGGAGATGCAACATCCGCTGCCTCGTCGGACGCAGAAGGAGGGACGCGCGACCGGTCGCAGGGGCCTTCCAGGACGTCGGGAAGATCTCGTTCGACGAAGCGTGGCGCCTCAAATTGAAACCGCGCTAATTCTTGGAAGAAAAACTAGGATGAGTTAGTTCTTGGAAATGTTACAAACAATTTTCAGCTTTGTGAGAAGCAAATCTTGTCTAGAAACAAGATCTCTAGAGTATAATCTTGGCTTTGTCATTTGCCGTTATAATGGCGTCTTCCGTTTTCTTCAACGTCGCTATCCACGTGCCATGTGTCAATTGCCAAGAATTCGTATAAAAAAAGAGGCCATTCCCTACCCCCTAGGGGGCGGGGGACGGCCCCACACCACTTCCTGCAAACGCCGAGCGCCAGGCCAGGTGCGTACGGTGTGTACCCAATGAACGCCTGGGTGAGGCGTCGGCCAGGCTCGAAGCCTGGCCTCCCGGACGGCACAAGGACGCTCTACTCAGTAGGCCAACCGCCGGTTGGGAATTAGGCCCTTTAAAAAAAGCAATGTGTGCACGGCGGAGCTGACGAAGGGAGGTGGGATGGAAACAGCCCGAGGCTGTTTCCATCCATACAAACAGCCACACTTTCCTGTAAGCACGCTTACATGTGTGGACGGGGGTAAAGCCTTTTTCATCGTTTATATACAGCTTATCAGAGGAATCGAAGTCTATCTGTATTAATTGATTGTTGACTTCTCATGCTAGCACGTTGACATTTTGCCATTGCACGACATGTCGCAGGAGGTGCGACTCGTGCATATCCTTTTTCTTCTCCTCGCATCGGTTGCGCGGTGTGCGTGCAGCCTACCTGCTTTTCATCGACTACGTTACGATTAGAATCGTACTAGGCGCCCTCCTCGACGCCCCAAGAGATGAATTTGACCGAATTTCCAAGTTCCTAACGTGAAGGCAAGTGATCAGATGGAAGCGTATGTGTCACGAGCAAAGACGCAGGATCGTTCTTTAACGCCAGAAAAAAAAAAATAATCGTTTACTCCAATGTAATTTGGGAAACATGCTGCAGTTGTTGCACGTGAACGAATTCGTACGATAGGGGCGTGAGGGCTTCGTGAAGAGCCGCTTATTGACTTAGTGGGTTTCCTCGACCCGAATGTTCAATGATGATGGACGGCCGGTCTGATAGCCGGCATCACGTGGGTTCTGGTTGCGGTTAGAGTAACTTCGTGTAAACCATATTTAGTGAACCTGAGGCATTCTACACAATATGTATCACCAAGTGACCCTGATATAGCCAAATAATCCTGTAATTCAAGATAGCTTAATCAGTATCGGCTGCAAGGTTCGTCTTAAGTAGTCTCGACTGGTAAGTAATCCCCATCGCATTGCCGCAGTCTTCCAGAGGCATCAAGTTGAAGTAACCGAGGTCGTGTCGATGCAGAGAGTCTGGAAGAGCCGAGAGGCCACAAAAACGTGACAAAAGTTACAATTAATCGTTTGGGGCGTGCTCGGGCTGTCGACCCAAACACTCATAAGATTGTGATGACGTCACATTTTGAGGCATCCTTCCAGTATCTTTTTTCACTCGTCAGTTTCAATATCGGTGCTTGCCCCTAGCAGTTGCAGTCGATTGCACTGCAGTACAAAAATTGCTTTATGCATAGTCCGTCGTAGAACAAATTGAAAATCAAATTACCCTCCTTACATGAACGGCTAGAGAAAAAAAAAGCTTCCAAAGCAGAGATGATCAGATGTCGTATACTCGTTCATAGCTATTGCATGCAATTGAACTTTCCATAGATCTAAAAGGACTCGTGGATGTCCCAGATCCCGATACTTGCTTCATGGCGTCGACCTATTCGGTATCGTGTGAACAGTTCTGCAGCACTTATTTATTTACTGCACCCGGCATTAAAACCGGAATCCTTACGGCACCCCGAAATCCCATTTGGTGGACAAATCCAAGTGGCCATTCTCTTCGGCTGCGAGTCCTTTCCACGTAAGTAGGCTTGAGGGGCAAGAAATAGCGCTTTCTCGGTAGTGGAACCCTCTTAGGGTAAATAAATTAACTCTTCTCCTTTTATTCCAGCAAGCACGTTTCATTTCCCACCTCGCCGTTCCTTCCCTTTCCCTCTACTTCTCGCATGCTCTTATTTTCTTCTGTCGAGTGAATTTGCGCGGCAAATAAATGCACGCCACCGATCCAATGGGATTATTTCATTTATTCCTTATTTCTCTGCCTTTCTCTTCATGGACTGGAATGGAATTCACGTGCATCGCAAGTAACGTTAATTTATTCTTGTTCATCGATGACATTTTGGACGAGCGAAGTCGGCCGCTTGTCTCGAGTTATGCATGAACAATTAATGCTATGCTTATTTCCATGTAAAATACCAATAGAATTGAGAGGGTTCCGTTGCATGCTTGGATCCTTGGAATGAGTTCCTCTCTTCCCATAGTAGCTGACGGAATAGGGACTCCAAAGCCTCATGAGAATTCTTGCTGCAACTTTTTGCTTTGCATAATTTGCCTTATATCTTTCATTTGAAAGTTGACTCATTTCAGCCACCGGATGTCTGATTTCTCTGGATGCAAAGGGGTTGCTAGGGACGACAGAGTGAAGAAGGGGGAATGCAATTTTATTTAAGTACAATTTTTCAGGTTTTTGCTGTGTTACACAAATCTAATTGGAATTGAGGTGGCTCTCGGTAGCATTCTGCCCTCTCCTTCAGAGTTCTTTCGCATGAGTCTGGATCATTCACGGTTGTTCACATCAACCAGAACGACCAATTTTCAATTCCGCAGGGTGAATAGTTCTACAGGGTGGCCCATAAGTCCCAATTGATTTTATTATTTTCACTCTAAGTAAACATTTTGTAATAAGTTTTAAATTTATCGATTATTCAAAGTACAATCACCTCGACAAATGTTCTTCCCATAGCAATTGATTACGTCAGTTTGAGCTCCAGTATGCGTAACACAGAGTTCTATGCGGCGACTACGTTCGCTTGGATGCTCTGCAACATTTCAGGAGTAATCTTTGTAAACGCGTTGCATTTGGCTGCACTCAATTCTTCCACATTATGGATACGCACCTTGCTCTCTTGTTCCTTTATAAACGACGAAAGCAAATTGTCGCACGTCGTCAAATCGGGACCTCATCGACTATTCCAGAAGGGGAATATCCTGTGACAAAAACTTTCCTATCTGCGACTAAGTAATGGGCTGGTGCGCCGAAATACCCTTACTTCTTTTGGTTGCAAGTGCTTGGGTTCATCAATCAATCGTTGAATGGAATCCGTCTCCGTGTTCACTTGACTCACTATTTTTTAGGTGAGGAGGACAGTAACTGGATGCGCATCCGCATTGTCACCATTTATCTCAACGCCTTGGCGGATTTTTATCATAACCGATTGGAACTTATGGGCCACCCTGTAGTTCTTCACTTCATTACAGGGTGAGTCAAAAATCACTGAACGACTTTGAACAGATATAACTCGGCAAGGAATGCATTAATTTGCAAGCGGTTTTTTTGCATAGGGAAGTGCCTGCAATAATTAACAAATATGCAACGTTGAAAAATATTTATTTGGCGTAAAAATGACTAATTACTGACCATGATATCGAGCACCATCAAGCTCGATCACGCGAGCCGTCACCGAAAGGCAACTCCAGCAATCTTCTCAGTCATGCGTTGCTTCAGTTCAATGATCGAATTTCGAGTTATACCTGGTCTTTAAATGAAACCCCACATCCAGGAGTCAGGTCCGGCGACCTTCACAGGATATGTGACAAATTAACGATGGCGACACGTTCCTCTGAAGAAAGCGTTGCACCCTGAATATAACTTTTATGTTTTTCGTTTTCTTATTGGTATGGTATTTCAGGCAAATTCTCCATGTTGTTTCGTCAATTAACGCATGTTCTTTCATGTGCAAAAAACCGTTTGCAAATTAATGTCTTCCTTACTTAGTTATAGATACTCAAAGTTGTCCAGTGACTTTTAACTTCAATCTATATTTCCAATTTTGTTTTGCCTCTTCTGTCAATGTCGAATTTCTGACTAGTTAATACCAGCATCTGATCACGTCGTGAGCCCTTAAGAGATACCGAAAGACCTCTCCCTGAAAAGCGCAACATGAAGTTGAATCATTCCGACACCTCGACAAGAGCCAGCAACCACTTCCGATCTACGGAATGCATGTAACAGTGGCATTTGTCAAGAAAGCATAGATGAATATGAACATATTTTTCCTTGACGTATGAACAGAGGAAACGAGGCCTTGGACATGGAATGGATCCCGACCGACCACAAGAGGAGCAGGGACCTCCCAACGAGCCTCCGTCACTCCCGTGTGGCCATTCCATTCTTCATTGCTGGGCTCCCGGGTCACTTGCGAATTTCGAGGCTCCGATTCGGCCTCACTCTCTTCGGCATCTGACAAAGGAGGATTCCTCTTCAAATAAACGAGACGAGCATAATGGAATTTGGAGGAATGCAGCATCCGAAGCCGAGGGGAATCAGAGCCCCCGGAGTTTTCTGGAAACCACTTCACGCCATTCCTAAGAACAGATAGGAAATGCATCAGCAGGAAAAAAAAAAAAACAAGTGTAGGATCATCATTGGGAAACTCTTATTTCTATTCAAATTCAGAAACACAGTTCGACATCTATTACAAGTCTCAAAATAATTTTTAGGAATGTAGAATTCAGAGTGGATTGGAATCTACATGTAGTAGCAAACTAGAGCCAACACAGAATTTTCTGCTTAGGTAAAATGTGGTAAGCAATGAACACTGATGAAAAATAAATCAGCAGCAGATATAATTTTTTAAGGGAAAGCTAAATATAGGGGAATTTCACGAGGAGGAAAGATGGATTGGAGATAAGAATCTGGAGTCTCTTCGCTTAAATTGCTCATTGGTGGAAATGGGCGGGACACTTAACCACGCTGCCTCGATCGTTCTTTACCATTGCTATTCTGTAAAGTTCTTCACTAAATCGCGTTTCACTCCTGAGTAATTGATGTGTAAAAACCGACAACCCATAAAACTAATGCAAGTCAAATGCGTCCCTGTACTGCTTGAGAGCAACATAAGGAAAGTCAAATGCGTCGCTGTGCTTTTTAAAGAAAACTCTATAAAAGAAAAATGCGACATGTGCACCAAATATGCTATACATTAAAAATGGTGCTAGGAGAATGCCTTCTTGCTGCATTTTCACGAGGTGCGGCTGCAGATACATTTGCTTATGAAGCTCCCATTTAGCGATTTAGGAATGTGCTACCACCAACTGGGATGGGAGACCGATTATAAATATGAATTATATTTTAAATGAAGGTTTTGGGGCTCAGATCTTACATCAACATCCCTTAACAAATGTACTCAACGGTTACTGGACGCACAATTCTACCCGTCCACCTGTATCCACTTGGTTGAACAAGGTGGATTTACGCCAAAGGAGACATCTGCCTACTTCATTCATCTGAGGGGTGAACATTTTGTACGTAGTAAATCATCTTGATGTGTCTGGAACAGAGGGACATGATGTAAGCGGCTAAGCGATAGATTTTCGTACCATAGTATTGTCACATTTGACTTTCCTCATGCTTTTCACGTTCATGCAGGGCAGTGTCAAATTTGGACTTTGGACATGGCACTTGACTCGCATACATCGTTATTGGGCTTGGAAAACTTATATTTGTGATTGTGTCAGATCAATAATAAATCAAAGGGCTGTCAATAAGATTATCTGCGACATTGGCGCCACATCCAAATGCATGCCTTTGCATATGGAGCTGAAGAAAATAAAACCACAACGAGAAGTCGTCTGGCAAGGAGAGAAAGACGGTTGTCGTAATCGACTTTCGTTTTGACGCTCCCATACAGCTACTGCGATGCTGGTGATTATATGTAGCATCGCACGAGCAGGAATGAAGATGGTAACAAGAGGCAGCCAAACAAGACAGTGCTTGAGGAAAGTGTGAAGATCCCAGCAGAAAGTGACGTGGAGCAGCACGGCACCTGAGGAGGAGAGGAAACTCTCGCTTAGGATAGGGTAGGGTCTACTCTTTTTTCCCGGAGATTGACGCGGACATGTATCTTTCAGTCCGCCAACCTACTTCACGTGATCCCAACATTTAATATTTCATCAGGGGAATTTACACGAGTAAAATGTGACCTGATATTTAAATTATTGCGAATAAAGCCCAGAGATTCATCAGTAATATTCTGCGTTTGTTGCTTCACATGCGTTCATCTCAACCAGCTCTGCGAAAACTGCAGACATGAAGTTACAAGAAGCGTTCTATCATTTTCATCACATGGATGTTCCAAATTCATATCTGGTTCATTGACTTTTGTTACTCTCACTGGAGCCAGGAACCCAGCACACACAATTTGAACGTGCAAGGAAGCAATAAAAATATTATGCATGCAAATTCGCTCTATTTTTGTCTCGGCGAGTAACGGTAATTTTATGCCTCACGTCTGACAAAGAATCATTGCACAGGCAGCATCATATCTTCTAAGGAAGGAACTTCCCTAAATAAAATTAAACAGCAATAAGACGGGAGAGAGGAGACAAGAGAAGGCAGAATGGAGTCTGAAATTGAAAAGGAAGACGGAACCAGACAAGAAAGGGAAAGAGACGTCATAAAGGATGAGGGACGTGATTATCTCCTTACTTAATCCAAGTCGCACTGAGAAAAAACCAAGGACGACCTTCACTGGGACAAGGGGTCGTTTCAGTCCTTCCGCTCCTCCGAACATGTGGAAGGGGAACATCGCTTCGGCTCCAGGTTCAAGCGAGTCTCTCGAGCTGTTGTGATGGCAGATTCAGTCATTCTCAGGCCCAGTATGCACGGTCCCATTCGCGGATCCCGATCGATGGACCTACACACGCCTGCACCTTGTTGAAAATTCATCGTCTCCTGCTCTTAAGTGAGGTTCACTTGGGTCCAAGGTGAGCACGACGGTGGACGAACATGACACTTCTCCCTGATCCATCTGCAATTCAGAATTACAAAGCAAGAGGAACTGTATGCGTGCCAGAAACTCAATTTTATTTATTACCCCAAAATAAAGTTATTGCAGACAACTCCACCTAGCAGAACGAATTATCGAACTGCGCTGTGATAGACAGGATTTTTCACGGGGACGGGACAGGAGATTGCACCTTCGACATTTGGCATGCTCGACTCCACACACACACACACACTTATGAGGAAGACCGTGAGGAGGGGTTTCTTGGACGAGTTAACTCAATCCACCACAGGCTCAATGGTAAAAACCTACCCGAATTCCCAGTAGAGTGCTGATAATAGCTACCATAATGCAGTTTAGGAAATACCAGAGTTCCACTCTTTTTCTGGTCCACAAGCCATTTGGCAAAGAGCAGTAACAATTCAGCTTTAAAAACCATCCGCCATATGGCGCAATGTGTTCCATTTTATTACAATACGTAGAGCTTGCGAAAATGAGACTCGCTGAAAGGCAAGCGCGGATGGAGAATGTGGGATTTTCAATTGCCACGAGGCAAAGCGCATTCACGCATGGGGTGAGAACGAAGACACATAAGATGGAGAGGGCCATGTCAGATGAATTGGCTCTAGGGGTCAAGGACCCATGGAGCCAATTCTTGTCAAGGACTTGAGGTAGACGTAGTAAAGGGCCGCGAGGAAAAGAAGACCTGTGTCTCTTGACACCCGGCTATAATACGAGGATCACAATACCGTTCAAGACTCGAAGACAGGGAATCGAACGGTAGGGGACGAGACAGGACCTTTTCATTTGTCCCACGAGGACAAATGTGATACATTTCTTCTAGTTTCTGCTCTGTAAAAAAAAAAAAAAAAAAAATCCATTCGCAGTCTCGTGGAATTCTCCAATCTCTTGACATCCATTCAGAGCAGCTGGAAGCTCAATGCGGGGTTCCCAAGGTTCCATCCTGAACGGACTTCCCCTTTGTCCTTCGCATCGATAACTCCTCGCAACGCTTTCTCTTTCTTTTCTACGTTCTCTCTTGCTCTTTTCAAGCCGATCTGGACACCTGCATGGCCGTCGTGGCGTATTGATGATCGAGAAATAGGTCGAGTATTGTCTTGCCCGGTGTAAATACACTAACAATCGAACGGCTGACAGGTCAAGTCTATCTGCAAACAAATTTCGAAGAAAGTATATTTGGTTTAGTGTTCGTAGAACCCGAGAGTATAAGTTTTTTTGTTGGAATTATGTAAAAGATGAGCTTATCTATCGATACATGTCACTTTTCCTCACTTAAATTGACGGCCACTGGAATATCCACTATTCTGTGTGGAATTCGAGGAAAAAATTTTTTTGCAGATAGACCATGTAATCTTTCAACCCTTCAATCGATGAATGCAAGGACCACGTTTCTTGGAAGCATCGCATCGCTTTATCCTCTCGGTCCTCTTTGGAGCTTTAAAAATGTGCTAACTACTGGGGGAAAAAAAAACTACTTGGGTCGACCACAGATGGACAATACGCCGATTACATACAGCAAGGAAAGCCTCCATGGTATGTTATTTTTTTTTATCCAGCCACATCCAGAGTTACCCTGGCCATCTCTAGATGAAAACGTCAAGGTCTTGCTTGTTAAAAATTGAGGGGGCCATCCAATCTACCAGCATCAAATTTTCAGCTGCTGTCCTCAAGAGATCAAAATTCCTTGCACGGCCATGTCGAGTTAAAAGCCTGTGCTGTCACCCTTTCTCGAGCATTATACCTCAAGTTCAAAACCCTTCTGCGCAGCAGTTTCAATAACGAAGGTTTTTGCTTCTTCGCCAGAGCTCCACACTGAATTTTCAGAATGACGTTCGGTGCCTTACCTTGTTCTGCACGATGAAAACCTGTTTGAGATGAGACGATCTGGATCTCCTCCAAGCCGAACCGTCTGCGCGCAACGCACAAGCATGTGACCGTGGCAAAACCAAGGCAGAGAATGAGGCCAGACGAGGAGGGAAGTGAAACCTGGATTTTTTTTTGTTGCCCTCTGGGGCGGAACGAACATTTCCTTATTCCGACGCTTTCGCTGTGTGGCTTCGTTGTCCAGCGACATTTCGTGTTTTGTCGATGTGCTCCATCCCAACCGGATTTTTAATCATGGAATTTCCGCTTTTAACTTGATTTCACATGTTTCATAAGTCTACTAATTCAGCACACCACGCTTTCGCGATTCCCCAAGTCCGGCTGTAGCTCGGGATCGCATATACCACATTTGAAATATAAAACATGATCGTATATACTCGACTTATCCATACAAAATCTTGTGAAACCCTTCGAAGCGAATGAGTACTCCAACGAGTCCTTTCAGGACGGTGCACCCACAAGAACCCGCATCAAGGAAGTTTCACTTGAGACTTTAGAAAATCGAATTACTTTTATTTTGGTTTATTCCGAAGTGAATTCATCAGTCCCTCATTTTATAATAGTTCTTGGACGAAACTTGATTTCTGAGACTGGGACTTTCTCGCCTTTCCTGATCGAGCATTTGATAAATTTATACATTTTCATACGAGGATCTTTTATCCTTGGGGGACTGCTTCATGTGAGATTAGACAAAGGAGGGACTTCGCCTTTGACCTTGTCAGATGATGATGATTGCCAGAAGGCAATGACCTTCATCCTTTAACCATTTTTTGCATGATATCAAGGTCAGTGGATCCAAAAATCCCCACACTAACAAGGACATCACAATTTACAGAATGGGTCTGCTATGCCAACCAACGAGGATCACAAACGCGATTCAACAAAGGGTTCATTTTTCATTCCTTCGTTGAAGGCTGAAAGTGTGGCAAGAAAAAAGCCTCGATGCAAATCTGAGACAGCGTCTACATATTCTTTATTTCTTACTGAGATCTGCGCCCGAAGGGGTGGAAAAAAAGGGGAAATCGAAACAAGGAATCGAGATGGTCGTATACGTCGAAAAAGGGGGAAACAACTTCAAGCACACTACGCTGTACATGGCAGCCTCGGCCCCCCTATCACACTGGGCCGTGCAGTCACAAAACTCACATCGTCTTACTTGATCCCTGATAGATGAAGGAATTCGAGTCCGAAACAGTCCTCTCGCAAGATTGAGCATTCCTCATTGAGATCTACCTGGAATCAGAGTCTCGATCTCTTCTGGTCGGGTGACAGGAAAGACTGGCAGGAGTGACGAGTCTGGCCCCGGGCATTTTGAGCCTCGATTCTCGAACACGGGGCTCACGAACGGAACGCAGAAGAGAACGAAGAGAGCAGGGCGTATTGAGCAACGAACGAGGAAGAAGGAGTCAGTGGGTATATTCGGGATAGACGTCCCGGTCCCGGTCCCTGGAGTCATCCGTGGCCGGGAGCGAGTCGTCCAGCGAACCCGGAAAGGATTCGCCGTCCGAAGGAGGAGAGGCGTAGTATCGCGGAGGAGGAGTGGGACGGGGTGACACCGACACCCGCTGCGGTTCCGGGGAACTGGAGTCGTAAGCCACCTGCCCTGGTCCCAATCCCTTCACCAGGGCCTCCTCGCTCCCGGATCGCAGCATTCCCGAGTGACTGCGACGGCTTCCCGAACCTGTCCCGGTCTCCACGTACTCCTCGCTGTCACAAGATATGTGGACCTCTTCTTTTTTTCCCGCTTACTTTGCCTCAATTTTTACGTTGTGGCCCAAGTACCCTTTTGGAGGGTATCAACACTATCATACCGGGTACCACTCCATTATTATATTAATCCAGCTGTTTCGACCTGCTTGAACTGGAAGGGAAAAACAATACTCTAGCCGCTAGCCGGAGATGAGCATTTCCCCTCGAGGTATTCATGTCTAGACGAGGCAAAAGGAAAATATCCCTCGACTGCCTTCCTTACATTCTGCACGTGTACAGACGCAGTCCTCTAGATATAAAATGATTCTTACCCTTCGTCACCTCGCCCGCGTTATTGCACGCCATCAATTTGCGTTTTAATCGAAAATTAAGGCAGGAACTAGAATCTTATGCAGAACTCATGCAGCTCTTCGTGCAATAGCACGGATGGCTCATGGGACTCCCTCTCGACGAAGGATATCTAACAGAAAACTATCAGCGGAGAAAATGCCCCGAGAATATTTAGATACGGTTCAATAGATTACAATCTACCGGGATAGCACACACTTAATCCATGTAAGCATTCCTGTGTTGTTAGGGAGGGAGCCTTGGAAAAAATTCCAGAAATATCTTTTTTTCCGGAGGGCTGTGTGCAGCCAGGCGTGTAGACAGAGGCAAGGGAGAGAAGCAGGAAAAAGATTCATCGATTTCCGTCCTTCCACGCGGGTGTCATGCGCCAAAATGCGCTTTCATAATGAGGCCATATGGGGTTCGGTTTATCTGAGTTAATCTCATTCCTATGGATGCCCATTACTGGAATAAGTTTAAGGTGTAACGGATTTTATAAGGGACTTCCATTTCTTGAAGGGGGCAAAAGAGCAAAGAGAGGTCCTCAAAATTTTCATTCATTTGCGGAAAGAAAAGGCAAAAAAAGAGTTATATTCACTGTCTCGTGTCTTCTTTCTTAGCTCTCCCCCCCCCAGTTTGTCTGGATATGAATTCCTTCAGGCGACTTGCGGAGAGAAGCAATCTTAGAATGAAGGGAGGAAAAAGCCAAGTCTGCCTGGTTCCTTTCTTTTTTTTTCATTCCCCCCCCCCTAATGCTCACCCTCAGCGCAGAAGAAATTTCCCTTCCCATTTGACGGGCCGTAATCACGTTGGATTGGCATGTTAATTTCGCAAATACCATCTCCTTAAGATTTAGTGTACATTTTGGACAATTAGGAAAATTAGCCACTGATCTCGCAGATTAGAAAATGATGGAAAGAGGGGTTGAAAAAGGTGGCATACCCATCGGATTCCAGGTTGTCCCTGTCATCGGGAGGAGACTGATAGAGATCTTCACGTGAGCGGGGATTGGACGAGGATGAGGGTCCCCTGTACCTCCCGTAAACGAATCCGTGACCCACTGACTCCTCCTCCATCAGTCTGCAATGAAGGTTCTCCGTTGACTTCAGTCTTCAGAACCAGTTGCTTCGTACTTGCTGCTCAAGTTTTTTACTTTCCAGTGATGCCTTGCGGGCATGGCGAAGCAAGTATACTTTAGAATGCAAAGTGCAAGATTCGCTTAAGAATGTGCTATTTCAGCACAAGTACAAGGGGGTGCTGAAAGTTCCCGGACTCCTTGCTGTGACATACGAGTACGTGGCACTCTCTCATGCTCCTGTGAGATGCAGCTTTGGTGCTCTCTCTCCTACACGCATTTCTTCCGAGTAACATCTAGAGTTTTTTTTCCTCCTATATCAGTTATGACTTCAAGTCTTGAGCACTAAAGGAAAACTGTGATATGATTTTTGGTTTGGGAAGGCGAGAAGCCCAGAAAAATCCATGGGAATTTATGCATTGCCTTTTGAACGACTGAATCGATTTGGAGAAAAGGTGACCAAAAGGAAGAAAGATGAAGAACTTCCGTCATAGACAAAACAAAAGACCTCACGATGAAGGAGCTTCGACTGACCACATATGATCTTTCTGACTAAGTCGGTATCTCCAGGGAGCAGGCACTATTATTAGGCATTATTAATGAATAGTCGGAGATGAAAGTGAAAGTTAACGTGGAAGCACTTCAGAGGGAAATTTTAAGTATCCCTTCTACAGGAAAGTTAATGTTCGTCTCTTTCAAGGAGCACAGTGCATAATTCTCGAGGAATTCTACATGTTACAGTGCACTACTGGGTGCGAGGTAAAGAAAGCCATGCTGATAAACAGGCGTGGCCTCATCTCCAAGGGTGTGCGTGATGCAGCCAGACTATGCCCATCCTCATACCGACCCCGTCACCACCCTGGCACTCCATGAACTTGGATGAAATTGTTACTCCATCCCATCTTTGAAACATTCCTTGCGCAAAAAATGGATGTGTTTCAAGCCCGCCTTCGCATAAGGGATCTGGGTTTACTAAAGGATGATTAGCTGCTGGGATTTAAAAAATCGTTGGAGCTATGAAAGTGCATACTGATCAGGAGTGATGTTTTGGTCCGATGTTCTCCCAATGTACAATTGTAATTGTTTATGTTAGTCCGGGATCCTTTCAGTCTCCCGCGTAAATGGCGTGGATGTAATGACTCGTAGAGGAAATTGTGATAATCACTGAAATAGTCGAATGAGTATAATCATTGGAATATCATCAAGAAATCGAATGAGCAATGCTGACATGACTCTGAGTTTGCTGAATATCCTGCTATTCATTTGGTGCAGTTAAGCAATGTCTGTTTCTGGATGGGAGTTTCACTTTAAAAAAAATCCATACGCAAATCTTCCCCTTTCAATTTCTTGAAAATTGCAAAAGTCCCCCAAATAAACAATAGTTTTTTGAGCGACAAATTTCCCAAAATGTATTGTTTACTTTCTTCCTTTTCTTCATTATGATACTGAACCCATTAGATATGACGCATCCTGATAAATATTCTTCAACCCCTTCTCTGGCTTGAATTCACCTATGGCATGAAAAAATTTCTTGCAATTCTACTTTCAAGCATTTCCCCAAAATTTATTTGCATTTTTTCGATAGTAGATAGAGCAAGGATGGCATTCCTGTCAAATTTGGGCAAATTGCGAAAAAAACATCGTTGTCTACCCGAAGGAGTATATATGGCACTCGTGTTCCATTGCGTTTGCATCAAAGCATATAAACAACCTGACGGTGTTTCTGTGCTTTGTAAGACATACATTTGACTGCGCCTTCCAGCCATGAGTGTCAAGTGCCCCATCCCGTAGATTTCAGCCGTTATATCATCTGACATAAACCTCGGACATCTGGAGGCAAAACTGGAGAAGGATTAAAATGCACCAATCCGCGTAAGCAATACATTCGACACCTTCAGCACTGAAGCAAACATTTCAGAGTTGCTCTTCTAGAGTCACCCTTAGAGTAAGCAATGTGATGTCCCTTCAACGAATGCAAAATGCATGGTCGTTCTACATCTATTGAACACCGTCATTCAACATGACAGAAACAAGCAGATCTTACTTGATTTTCACGTTCATCATGCATCATCTTTTCATTTGGTGCTCTCAATTGCACGCTATAATCGTGCAAGGCCATGTAACGTCGACATTAATGCTAAACTCTTCGTTCAAGTTGGTACCAATGCGTGAAGTGTATCTCATAGGTACTAGCCAGAAATTGCAACCTAGTAACGGCTGAACCACCTGGTGGGTATTCATACTCTATGTGAAACGGAACGTTTCCATGTGGACGTGTATTATACTATTACACAGCATTACTTACAGAGTATTACTAACTAACGTGACGTTGCGTGTAGCTTTTTCCTGCACGTGACAGGGTCTATTTCCGTGGATTAATAGAGTGGTTAGCATGACATTTCAATGTGTCTCATATACCATTTTTCTTCATTCAAGCCTGGCAGTGCCTGTTATCTAGGGATGATTAATTACAAAGATCTTTCCATCATATACAGTAAATTTTGCGAAACTCTACAGCTTCAATATCTACCGTAATAAATAACAGATTTTCTATTTGACGTGTGCAAATTCTCCTGGAGAAGATGTGGAATAGATTGAAGAAAGTCTCAACAAGCTACGAGACTCACTGGGTTGCCTCTTCTTGTTTTACCTCAACCATCCATTGCCATCCATATACACGTCTTGAATGCCTGAGGCTTTCTCGAGTACATTTTAACCCCCACCCCCCTTCCCCTTTATGGTGAACATAAGGACGCCCATTGGACTGAAGTTTCCCCAGCTTTAACCCGTTGTATCAACGTTCTCTGGCTCACGCTGTACAAAAATAGAGTGTATACATCTAACATCACCCTGAAGTGATGCACCTTGGACTCCCTCTGTTATTAAGAGGAGAACTCATCGGTTGCTACGGCATAGGGTTTCCTCAATGTTCCGCAAAGAACAACAGCACCATGTTAATAGCTGGCATGGGATTCAAGGGTAAAAAGCACAACCTCGCATACCAACTCCATCAAATGTGGCGATGAATATGCAACAAGCTTGGATCCTCATAGCCATGCACCTCTAACCCCGCCCTGGGGCATGGTTTCACAAGCATAAAAATTGGCCAATGTTGTGAAATGATAAATCACATTGCCATTATCCAGGTGCGCCTGACATTCACAAGTTATCTGTCATCAGGCAGGATTAGTACTGAGAGAAAACGGAAGAGTTCTTAGTCCAGGTTTAGCTGAGACCAGTAGAAGTTAGTCCCTTTGAGCGTCTCAGCCAAGTGCCAAGATTCATTTCGGTGACCAGAGAGCACCAAAGAACAAGACAGGAGAGACTACGGCCTAATGATCCGAGTCGAGCAGTATCGATAATGAGAAAGACAGAGACAAGAAACGAGAGAGTAAGGAGAAGCATTACTACCATGCAGTACCGGAAGGATCACTTCGGGATGAGACCGACCCGGGGCGCAAGGAGGAGGAAGTGCAGGTGTGCATCACCCCTCGGTCCGCCTCCGGCTCGCTCCCCGTCCGGAGATCCTCGGACCCGTTCGGTGAGAGGTGCCGGCCTGACATGGACCCGCTCTCCAGTTGGCGAAGGAGGTCCTTCAGGTTGCGGATGCGGATCGGGCCGCAAGGTGGGACCTCATCTTCATCCACCAGTGAGCTCCCAGGTCGTCTGCAATGGACAGGCTCTCTCTCTACCGAAGTTCTACATGTGTCCTTGCTACCACCCATTCACACGACGACCACGCCAACGCACACATAAGGGACATGACTCCGATGCGCAAGGGACTCACCTGATACTGTGGGGATAAGGGACGGTGGAATAGTCGGGATATCCATCAGACAAAGACTTGCGATGTTCGTCACTGAGGGAGGGGCCAGAGCCTGCTGACGAGTATCCGCCAACTGCTCGCTGAGTGGCTGCACTTCTCAAGGCATCCAGGATGTCCTCGTGATACCCGTTCATACTCTTCAGGGTTCGTTCAACTTCACTTATCGGCACTGATGGCTCTGTATCCAACTGAATACAACCACAGTCAGTGAGATCAAAGAGCATGACAACGTCTCGGGATACGATCACGATGGATCACCTGATGATCGGATCCAGAGAGAAGTTCCTGAGAATCGTGTTCGTCCATCGGCATGGGTTTCTTCAAAATCCCCTTCTCAGGAATCCGACCTCCTTGACCTCCATCCAAGCCTCCGACTTGGATGAATGACACCAGCTCTGATTCCGGAACTCCTCCCCAGTCTGCATTCCCCAACAAGACGAAGCCAAGATCAACTCATGACATCCTGACTATAGAAACTTCTACACTGCAAAATAATATTTAAAAAATAAGGTGGAGAAATTCCCAGATCCAGTCAAATCCTGGGAATTTCCAGCGAATCTTTTTTTACAGTGTAGCTTCAACCCAGCCCCCCCCCCCCCAAAAAAAAAAAAACACGTTGCAATGCAGTTGAATGTGGATTGCGCACACAGCACAACAGAAACAACACGTGTTGATGCCAAGCAGTGCAGGTAAGAAAAAGAATTCAGATTACCTCCAAGCAAGTTCCAGCGATACATACAGGCTAGGGGAGTAAAGAATAAGGAATTCTTCAGTCGATCTTTGCCCAACAATAATCTCAATGTAACCCAGTATTTTCAAAAGCATCCATCAAAATCTTCATACATTTCAACCGCCACTGGAATGTCAAACATCAACAGCAATCGTGCGATTCTATAATTAAAAAAAAAAACCCTACAAGTGAATCAACTAATAACTCGTGCTTTCTGGTTTAGTGTTTATTTTTCTCTTGGCATTTTAAAAGAACGCAAGGATGCTGGGCAGAATAGGGATATTCAGTACCTATTCGAATGGTTTTTATACCATTTTTGACGGAAATCCCATCATGTACGTTTTCACTTCGTCATCGAAATTTGCATTGCAGAGAATGCGCTGACGTCATTGATAGAAAATTTCGACGGACCGATTTTTGTCACGATAAGAAAAACCCATTGCTCGAGGTTGTCAATACAGATAATCATTATGCAAATGGAGGATTCTTTTTCACAGGTTTGAGGTCTGTGTTTACACGTACATTCCCCAGCTGTGATGGTTCTGCTTCCTTCCTATTGACGAAGTCGTTGCAATCTCAAGGGCCGAGATGAGATACGAGGACCGATGGCATACGGTCTTGACATGCTGTCTGTATGCTGATTGATAATGATAATAAATACTACTGTGCAGCGGTGCGTCAGACCCAAACTTACATGTTTCTGCTCTTTATTGCGATGGATTCCTGAGCAGTCAAACTGCTCAGGAAAATAAATATTACCTTGGCAAACGAGAAACATGAATTAAAATTGAACATTTTTTCGCTCCACTCTGCAATAATGTACAAACCCCCCTCCCCCCCAAAAATTAGATTGACTGTTAGATGACGATATCAATAAGAGGCCATTTTCTTATTGAAACAGCTGTTCTCCTGAGTAACCTGCAAGTCGGACTATTTTTCTGTTCCAACATCTGTGATCCCCCAACTGACACGCATTCATTCTGTATCGAGATGAGACTGCTACTGTATCCTGATGAAGCCGACGTAGACCTAATCCAATTACGTTTCTTCACTCCGGTGTCCCAGCAACCTATCCCGACAGCAAGAGAGAAAAAGTAAGCGACAAAACTTGAAACATTCTAGCATGGACTGATCTTTTGATCCGTAGACACAACTCACAAGAGGCCAACTTATGTCTGATTTATCGCCCTACGGAAAATCCTTCCTCGGGAGGAAGAGTGAAAGGACGCAGGCATCCCCAACAATTCCCTTCTCCGTCTTAACAGAATCGCCATTCGAAACGGCAACGCGGCGCAGTGACCTTCAATTGAATCTCTTCCTCCACTCCCTGCAAAGTCGTTCCCTCGATTTTCATCGCCTGCACATCCGAGTCGGAAATAAATTTCATGCGGAGATGAAGAATAGGGAAGGGACATCTAGTGCAGACTGGGGGGAAGCTGTCACAGAGACAGGATTCAAGCCCCCATTATTAATTTTTCCGGGCCACGACACGGACCTCCCTGTTCGCCCAAGTCATTACAACAGTGCCGCTAAACCATTGTGCTCTTCGGGGGTTAATTTTCATACACATGGATCCTAAAGGGGATGATTTTAGCTGCAACATGAGAGTTTTGCATCTTCATTCTTCATCGGGTCAGAAAATCGGCCAAGAATATTCTGACCATGGAGGGGATCTACTTCAAGGTACATGTAAATGTTCAAAAGTTGATTTTAGTCGATCCAAATGGAGTCCATGCATGAACTGTTCAAACCTTCATGAAAGCCAAGTATTTTACTTGGCTTTACTTTTGTTGAAGTATTTTAGAAAGAAGTAATTTAAATAAATGCGTTGGGTATTTTAAATAAAAATACTCGATTGGATTCAAAACAGTGTTTCAAGTACTGATGCTCAAGTACTTGAAAGACGGTACTCCCCGGTTCGACCAAGGCATCATGACGTCAAGAAATCGAACGTTCCAAGCGCTTAATGCTAGTCTTCGTGACTCAGCCATACAGACAGAAAGAGAGACATTGATTCGCTGATCACATCGCTTCTTTGGGAGGACCACTCTGAGAGAACTCTCTGCTGCATTATCCCCCTTTCTATTGAAATGGCAGGATCGATGCCTGGCAACAACGTAAGGCTTCGGCTATACATGCAACTGCAGCCCCCCTCATTAAGTCTAAATAGGCGACCCAAGAAGCCTCATTTACATGGAGGAAGTTTTAAGCGGCTTAACAAAAGCCGCTTGAATTGAGCTGACTGAAGCACCAGTCATACCGCTGATGCGCAGCGATGGTGCCCCGAATGCAGCGGAGACTGACTTTGGCACTCTTAACTGTTTCCACGCTCGGTTCGAAGTAGTACATAAAAGTAAATCATCTTAAGCCAGGCTAAGATCATGTATTTAAATATAGAGCAGAATCACCTCAGCTCAAGAAAGGCCGCTCGAATGCGTCCGGCTTCTAGCTATGGTCGCGAAGGGAACCTCGGACACAAGAGTATATTTTCCCGAACAGGACACAAAGCTTCAAGTAATAACTTACCACATGGGGCAGAATCATCAGCGAGTCCCCCGGGGTGTCTGCTTCCTCCTTGCAGGGTTCTTCTTCCATAATGAGGGGTAGTCATGGGACCCATCAGGTGCTCTCCACTGCAAATATGGAAAGAAAGGACAGAAAAGAAGGAATCAGAGCACCCACGATGCACACACGGACGCGAATATCGAAGGAGTCCATACCTATAAGAAGGCATGGTGCCAAAGGTGATGATGCGTCCGGCGGCATCGAAGGCCGTCTCTTCTTCCTTTGCTCCGTGGGCATTCAAAGTCCCCCCTCCATAGAGTTTCTTTGGAATAGGTTTCTTCGGGTAAGGAAGCTCCGACCGGGGCATAGAACTCTTCCGTCTGCAACACCCACTTCCCATCAATTTCACTATCCTCGATGTCCTCATTCAAGCATCAAGTACGGAAACGGTCCGTTCCAACGAGGTCGATTTGTAACGCCTAGGCTCATCTGCATTATTTATTTATTTTTAAAATATTTTTCTCTCTGTGACACGTAATCGATAGAGAAACCTAACCTGGCTTGACTCCTTCACTTCCGGCATTTCCTCGTCATCCACCATCACAAACCAAAATCGACGCTATTGCTTTTCCCTTCTGAATGTCGAGTAAACGCTCATAGTTAATAAAAAATTATCCTTCCTTAGTTGTTGCTATTCACTAAATCATTCAGGACTGGCCACCCGTCGCTCTACCTGAAAAAATATAAACGGAGTTTCTGATGTTTCTCACTACCATTCGGCGAAGTATGACAGAGGTCTGGACTACACATTTTCCAAGAGGGAATATCAAACATGCATTTCTCCATTTCTTTTTATAGGACTTGGAGAACTTAATTGCGTATGACTCAGAGGTACATCCTGAAACTATAGTAAAACTTCCTTCGACTCTGAATAACCATTATTCATTAAGTTGAAGTTCTGACATTGCTTTTTTAAATTAGCATAATGTGGTAGAGCCTTGTACGACAGGAGCTGCTCAAATGGACATTGAATACCTTGGAATTCATCCCAAGGAATCAGTAGAAAAAGATATGGGCATCATATCGACTGCTTCTGCATCCAATGCACGAAGTCACGAGATTGGCTCTCTGCATTTGGGGATTCTATGTGGAACAATGAAGATTCGCCCATGGGAGGGTTCCATAATTACGTCAGCAAAAAGGGGAGGAAAGAAGGTTGGTTCGGGGTCAGACCAGTGCTGACGGAAGCGAGGTAGATAATGACGGAAAGAAAAAAAGTGATGGAGTAAAACCACCAATGTTCGGACAGCTAAGCCGGGATAGGATTGTAATTCGTTCGTCACGCCTTAGTGGTACAAACCAGAGGGTTAGTACTTGGAATGCCGCTTCCACAACCGCCAACACCCATTATCCTTCCATAAACGCCGAACTGTGAAACCTGTCTCAGACGTCTTCTCCGGGAATGCCGATTACTCTCTTTCTTCTCGGTCGTGGCCACCGCAAGTCTTCTGCTTAGTAACATGATCATCTTGGGTTAAGAAGAACTATCTCAGATGTTGATCTCGCGAATGCGTATTTATTAACAATAAACGTTAGTGTCCGAACTTAGGTGGTTTTACCTTATTACAAGATCTTGGAAAGTAGCTGGACTCAGTTCGGTTCGAAAGCGACCGAGCCAGCAGAGGTAGGCCTGAATCTCGGAATCTATTAAAAAAAAATCCCATCGATACGAAGGGATAGGCATGAGGAACAAAAGTGCTGGCGCATTTAAATAACGATACAACTTTTGATGGTTGGCTATTGACCATTTTTACCTCAATTGCGACCTCGATCCAGTGCGCCATACTTCCTACTCATTAACGAATTTCAACTGAGTGAATCGCGGCTTATATTAAGGGGGAGACGCAATTTCGCCCGATTGGTAACTTTAGTGATGCGCTCAGCAATCACTACCGGGAATCTCACATATACGCATCTAAACACCAGCTGCTGCGAGTCGCAAATCCCAGGGACCTCAGTCCCGAACGGCTGCGGGGGACACCTATGGTAATGTTGGCTTGGGAGATAGGAACCTCAGTTACAGGAAAAGTATTCCTTCCAAAGAAAATATTCCTAGGCGATTGAGAGATGGTATAGTCCCCTTTCCGCTGAATTGCTCCCATGTCGCAACGACGGGGAATTGCGTATCATCGGAAAGATATCTTCATCTAGCTTTCCGACGATACGTAATTTCCCTTCATCACCGAAGAGGATGACGAGTAACATGGGGAATATACTAGCTTAAGCAGGCCCAGGGGGCAGGGACATTTTTCTAGGAAAGACGGATAATCGAGAGGGCATGGGGATTACGAAACGCAAGGCTTTTTCTCATCCCTTCCTCCAGACATTCAAGAATTTATGTGAAGGAGTCGAACCAAATCTCCCGGCATTCCACTCCGCTGCAGATGAGCCACGTCTACATTAAGCTCCTAAATTTTTCCATAAAGGATTTTCAGAAGACTGTTACAACTTAATTCCAACCTTCCTATCATGAATCCTTCAGTCATAATCAGATATGAACGGGTCTGCTCTCACATTCTAAGGATCCTAACGGAATTACGGAGTTTCAATGAGCCATTCACCAAGGCTTGCGTTATAGGATATCATTTTATTCCATACGGATTAGAGTCCCATGCAAGGAAAAGGCAGTGGAGAGGATAGAAGGAAGAGCTCTTCGTTTTAGCGCTCATGCGATTTTCATTACCCCAAACAGAACCCCACATTACCCCAAACACTTCTGATGTCCGATCGGATCCTCATTTAGAGAGGCTAGAGAGAAAATTAGAAAAAATCGCATGACCACCTTGACAATTCCATGCAAAGAGCTTGCATGCTTTCACAAAGGTGCAATTATTTTGTAGGTTTCATAAAATGCATTCATTTCCATGCATCATCGCAATTTTTTTTCCTACAATACTCCCATCCAGGGAGTATCCGATTTCATTATTTAACCACGTACCCCTTCAATAGGTTTAACCCCCAACAGCGAGTTCCAGGAGTCCTAGATAATTTTTTTAAATTACGAAGCAGCACCCTTGCAGCTCCCTGGATGGAGAGTGAAAGAGGAAAGGAAAGGAGAGGAAAGGGCGAGAGAGACAGGGAGGATTTTTAGAAAAGTTGGTGAATGGGCATTGGCGTTTAATCCCGAGAAGGACTAACCTGAGACAGAGTGAGAGGTTAGAGTGGACCACGACTGACCTGTAGCACAAGGCCATCAAGGCAAATAATATGAACACCCCACCCACGACGGACACTAACACAATGACCATGAACACCGTGTTCGTCCCACTGGTGTCTGCACGCACCACAACACGTGTACACATTCAACACAGCAGCAGCAGTGGCAGCAGCACCAGCACCAGCAGGAGACCCAAATATATGGGAAGAATGGAAGGAAGAGAGAGAGAGGGAAAAAAGTGAATAAAAGCACATGAGGAATAGGGCAATAACAATCTTCGATTCCAGATTAAATACAGGGCAACGGCAAAGCTCAACCTCCCATGCACTTCCCACCTGCCGTTATGCAAGTGCATTTGAAAAAGTTACACCGCAGGCGATGCTGGGTTTTGCACGACACCCGGAGTACATTCATAAAGGGGCATGCATACGACATTGAGCTCTCCGTGAACATATCAATACAAAGGGCGAGGGGGATAGAAAAACTAAGCGGTGGCAGGGATCGATCTGACACCAATTGAACCACATAACAATGGAATATGCTGAATGTTGCTCTTGTTTCATTACCTGTAGCAAACAGCAATAAGAGCAAAGAATATGAAGACTGCTCCAACGACACTGATGAGGACCACCACCATGGAAAGGGTGCTCATGAAATCAGGGTTGGTTACTGAAAGGAAACACCTGCATTTCAAATTTTCCTCTGCAGGGATGAATAAATTCCTCCCAGCCATAGGTCAAAAGTAATAAAACGAATCTCCCAGAAGGGCAGAGAGATCTATCCCCCTGTCACCCGAGAACAATAAGAACTAAGAAGTTTGAAAAATTCCTCTCCTTCAAATTGGAATGTCCAGATTTGAAATTCAAATTTGATAGCCTCCATCTACGAGGCGATGGGAACATAGAGGACAGAGTCCATGTGGAAAAATAGAAGGCTTCAATGCAAAAAATGAAACCTTCTTCGCAATTTCTTTTCGAATGAGGACTGCATGGAGAGGACTCACCGTAAGTTTCAGTCTGCTTGGTATGGGTATAGGAAGGCCCCTGAGTAGTTCCAGGTTGGGGAGTAGGTGGAAGGTGGGTGTTGGGAGGAAAATTGGGATCCGGGGTGGGTGCCGGGATCGGCGTGGGTGGCGCTCCACCTTGAATCGCTGATGGGATGGAGCAGTCTCCTCCTCCCCATCCCGCATCACAGACGCAGGTGTTTACGTTTGAGCAAACCTACAAGAAAAAAAGGACAGGTGGTCATCCTTTGACAAGACCCGGGTGTTTTGAACCCTCAGAACAACTCCAACAGAAGGGCACTCACCCCATGCCCTGAGCATTGGAAAGCAACGTGATTGCTTGGGCATTGCCCTGTGCTGACGTACGGATAGATGCTCGTACACGTCTGATTCACACAGATCTGTAAGGGAACCATAACGTGAATTGGGCGTAGGAGGTAAGCTGGTAAGCGACTCTACAAATAACGGCTACGGTATATCATCAAGCATGACGATATACCGTAGCCTGATAGTTCGCTCGTTTGAATGAATGCTAGACAGATAATTTTTCGCAGATACTTTTTCATCCATCCATCCATTATAATCATCTGTAGATGTGGTGAAAAGGAGAAGACGTCAGCTGGTTTTCATATTGAGCGAAAGAGCTCCCTTTGTGCAATCAGACAGCTTAAGCCGGGATAGACGGATTTGAGGAGAAAGAATGATGGAAAGAAGGATGAGGCCAGACCTTGTTTTCATCGCAGGCTGTGCCATCCATGACGAGACCAATCCCTTGCCTGGTATCGTTGAAATAGATCGCCCTAAGGAGACATCGATGAAATGCATTAAGGTTCCAATCACGAGAATCGTCCAAGTCGACGAGAGATCCATCTTGCTATGTCAACAGAGATTACCCCATGAAAGCCGACGGTCGACCTTACAATGCATCAGTAGACCGCTTACAAGTGAAGCGAAAATCTCATATAAAGGCTTTACTAAGTGTTACGCGAAATCTTCTCACATTTCGGTAAGACAATAGATTCAGAGAAAAGTTTTGGAATATATGTCATGCGTAATCAATGATGCCAAGAGTAGACCAGTTTTCGGATAAAATAACAAAGTAAAGTAGAAAAATACACACTGTAGAACAGGGATTTCTGCCCACGTCACACAAGGGCTTAATATAAAAGTCAAAAATCAAACATGAGAGAGCAAAATCGTGTCACCGACCTAAAATCTTTCGCTGATAGCAAATAAATCATGCGGGAAAATCGCAATTGAGAAGGTATATTTGAAAGGGTATTGTTTCTACGAGATAATGAGTCGACTGAAGCAGAGAATAGCAGACAATATAAAAGAATCTGATCGGAGATTTCTTTGTGATAGTTACAGAATTGTCCATGCATATTCGCCAATATCTCAAAATTGGATTGTTCCTATTTTCCCCTTTTCCTCCTCAATACAGGATACGCTCACCACTGGTCACGCAATGACAAAAATTGCATTCAGTCAATTAGATGAAAATGAAATTCGTTCCAGGCTTTCACACACTTGTGAACCGAAACAACTTAATGATGAGAGGCCCACTGAATGCTGCAAATAGACCACTCTGGGAAAGAAGGCTGAATCTGACTACAGTCACGAGAAAGCCTTAACATAAACCATATATTCCATGCTCTCCTACGGCGTTCGAAGCTTCTCAATATTCTCATCATGCGGAATGCTTTCCCCCGCGAGAAACCTTCACTTCCAATTTGAATCACCCAAGATTTCCATCCCGCTAGGATTCTTTTTTTGTTTCGAGGTGCAATCATGAAAATGGAAAGCGACTGACTTGCATTCGAGTTCCTTGCCATCGAAGGATATCCTGGTGACGGTGGCATTCACAGGCCCGTTCCCGGGTTGCACCGGATTACGATTCCCCATCTGACACTGAAGGGTCCCACACATGACGTTCCTAGAAAGAAGACCAGCATGGCATTCAGACTGCCTGTCTCATGTCGTCTGCTCGAGACCGTCTGTCGCAGCCAAGACTTCTGTGTACACCAAATGAGAAATCATTGCGCTTTCCCACCCTGCGTTTCTCGTCTCATATCTCCCTGCTTATTGCATCAAATTATCATGTCCTTATGGCACATCATGGCATGGTCCTTCACGGCAATCCCGTCCTTCAATTGGGTGATCTATAACTACATCTCCTCTTTTCAGGCTTCGCAAATAAAATGGCAAATCTTCACCACGTGACATCATGGATAGACTTCGCATGGGATTTGCCGACCATCTCGCCAAGGATAAGTGAGCCTGCGAGGACTGTATAGACCACTGGAGTTGGCGGTCCTTGTAATTTCATTCCATCGTGCATAGAGAGAGAAGGAGTGTAATGGAGTGCAGTTGATCCAGACAGATCTGTTGCACGAGGAAGGACTTAAAAGCACTTGCCTCTGAGTCGTTCAGGCAAGGCATTGTCACGTTTCACTCCCTGAAACCTTAGGGATACTTCGCATATCCGGTTAGAAACCAAAGGGCTCGCCCGCTGTGTGCACGAATGGAAATTCTTTTCACTTTTATACTCTGAAGCGTGATACTCTGTGTGCCTTGAGTTGATAAAAGAAATAAGCCAGATGCATTGGAATACCCCACTCAAAAGAGATCAAATTCTCTAACTGAGAACTCTTATCTTTTCCTCCTTCAATCTTTCCGAAAGGAAAGGAATGTTAAATATGAATGAGACTCACTCAGGGCGGCATCCTTTGAGGTTCCCCACGTAATCACGACCGCAGTGGCCATATATCCAGCCCTTCTGATTGAACTGGGCATAACAGTCCACCTCTGCCGACGTGCCCCCTGAACAAGGAAATCAAACGGCAAATGAGCAAAATCAATTTATCCAAAAAATTTTCGTGGAATAGAGAATAGTTGACGAACCAAAGCCCCAAAACTGTTGGCATTGGGTGTTCCGAGAGGGACAGATGCCGTTGAAGCAGTAGCCGGCCCCGTTATCACATTTATTTCCGTTTTTCTTGTAGATGTCCAGGGGGCACTGTCCTTGAACTCCATCACAGTACTCGGGAATGTCGCACTCGGTCGCCGGGGGCCGACACAAATGCCCCGCTGGTCTTAGCTGGAGCAAAACGCAAGATTTAACACCAAGTCCCGCGTCACACGCTAGAGTAGAGACGGACATACCCGACAGCTGTGACAGCAGGGCCCCTGAGAGCATTCAGCCTCTGCCTTCAGTCGACACGTGATGGGATCACAGCAAGGATCGATTTCTTCACATTGATCTATCACCCCGCAATCACATTCTTCCCCCTCCTCCACAACTCCATTCCCACACTTCCCCAAACTCTCCAGCTGCAAGAGGCCCACGTCATTCCCTCATCTCCCCTTCTCATCCATCAAATGACTCGAGCAACGAGAAATGCGACCTGATTAGGCTTGTTTAAGAGGCAAACCCCATGCCTCTTCCTCAGCCTCGACACATAATCATCCAATGAGCAATCGGAGAACGTATAGGGCTGGATGTATTCATCTCCCACGATCGTCTTGGACATGATGCAGCCATGCCACGATTTGCACTTGCAATTCTCCCCTAGCGAAGAGAAAACACGGAGGGGAAAAAGTAAGCTTCAAAGCCCACGAAGAACGAGCGAGGGATTGTGTCGAGCTGACAGGTGAAGAGAACACGAGTGGAATAAAATGAGAAATACGATGATTCCCATGGGGACATTTCCCTTCATTGGCATTCCGGGGCAAAGTTCCTCACAGTCCAACTCCAGGCTGAGGCTGACACCTTTCCCCCCTTTTATACTCGGAATTCCTTTGCATGAGATGGAATATAACAAAGGATGACGTCAAGGATCAGGGCTAGAATCCATTAATCATGGAGATTACAGCAGGAGAGAATATGCACCATCCCCTGCCATTTATCTTGGTGTGAACAACAAAAGAATGTCCCTGATGAGCCAATTTCCCATTCGCCTCATCCCCAGGCTGCTGATCTAGTCAAATGCTCCAGCCTCAATGGCATCGTTCAAGCCATGAGACGCGAACAGCATGAAATCTGAGCTCGAAATCATTGCTTTTCTGCCAATCAGTACCTATTGTCCCCAGAGAAAAGATGAAGAGAAGAAAAGGGACTCACGGTTGTCGTCATGAGTCATTCCCATGTTGTGTCCAATCATATGAGCCATGGTGGAGGCAGTAACGTGAGGCTCATAGATGTTGATGTCCACGCTGATTCCTGCTCCCCTACTCGTACAGATCGAGTCCGGCACGCTCATCCCAGTGTCTCCCATGGAGAATTTCAGACCCCTGAAAATACCAACCACATCAGCAAGACTTGGGATAGCAAAAAGAAAAAACCCACTAAAAGAATGGGATAAACAGGTGCAGGGCCAAAATGGACACGTCCCAGTATTAAAAATCCTTGCACGTGAGATGGAGATGTGACAAAAAGAAAATCCGTAAAAATCAAATTTGAAGAAGCGGAAGTTGTATAGGAATAGTGAATAATCCATGGGAATTCGGGGCCGTGACCTAATCTATTATGCTGACACAATCTAGGCTAGAACGGGCAGGAATTCCCAGGGGACACATACAGCACTAGGACATGTCTCCTCCCCCTTTGCATACCAAAATAGCCTCATCTCCTTCCTGAAGTCACAGCCGCTGATAAATCCCACCCATTCCTGTGGAGCATCTCAGTTTCTGTCCTGCTCCTCTCCCTTTTTCTCCACATAGTATCAATTTGATGATGCCCTGATTGCGAAATTGTGTAGCCCTAAAATAGCGCTGGAGATCCAGCAGATTTGAATCTCCAGTGTCTTTTTAGACACTGGAGATTTGACAAAAAAAGAAAAAACGCAGGAAATCAAAGGTAGCTGGCTAATCTTGGACACTACTTTGATGGCCGCCTCTCTTTATCTATGAGGATGTGACACCTGCTTAAGATATTGGAATAATAGGAACCTGATAGGGCGAATAAAATATAGCGCATTATAATAGATATGCTTTTTTTAAGGTTCAGTGGCATAGCAAATGGAGGTTTTTTAGGTTTGTCTTTAGGTTCAGGAGAGTTCCACTGTATCAATAAGCCTGGACAAATTTTTCATGGCGAATCTCTTCTCACATCAGAGAGTTTTCATATGCCGTGCACATCTTCTGCTGCCCCCTTCCATTCCCTGATCCTCTGTAGTTCATTACAAGGCATCATATTTACAAATTAACCAAAACAGCGACAATGAAATTCGACGAAGGTGTCTAAAAGGACTTCCCATCTATAGCACAAGCAAGGACGGAGAGAAGGAAAAGGAAGAGAGTTCTGCCTACAAAGAGAGAGGCGAGAAAGAAGAGAAAGACGAGAAGGAAGATGCAATCTGCCTGGGAGAACGTCCCCAAGGAGAAGACTCGGGCAAACAATCTCCGGATTAAATCCTTGCCACCCTTGGCTATCACATCGCATCACATCACATCTGACTTCCCTCATCTCGTTGTCTCCCTCAACTCGCCCCTTGTCTCCAGGAATGAAACTCCCAGTACATCACGACCGTGATGAGGGAATTTCGGTTATGTACCCGGGGGAAATGGAGATTGCACATATACCGTAATACGAGAGGTCGCAGAATTAAGTATTCTGGTTGAGTTGAACCTCAACGCAGTGGACGATGGCAAAAACGATGCTAATTTAAGCTAATAGTAGACTTAATTGTGGTTAATAGTTAACAGCTTATGTTGAGCAATATATTGAATCGGATTCCTCACTGATATAATTATTAGTGATTTGTTAGTAATTGACATTCTAGGCACTGTAGCCGTAGATACCTCAACTGCAGCAGATGCCAGCAAGAAGCTTGAAACGCATTCCCAAAATGGACTCCTGGTTTCCGGAAAATAGAACTGAGCGAACTAGAATCATTGATAATTATTTTTCCCTGTGGGTGACTGTTAGGTGATTATCATAATTATAAGTACTGGTTTGTGAATGGTGGTCTGTCAGATGTTACAGCAAAAGGGTATGAGGAGCAAATGCGGCCCCATGCTCGTACGAATTGAGGAATTCGCCACATACGATGCAGTGATGGATTGGATTTTCTATGCGTCGTGACAAATGTCAGAAATCCAATTCCTTAGAGTCTCATCCAGTAAAGCCACATCACTTCCATTCCAGGAACTTCGTAGTGGATGCCTTATCTGAGAAGGCATATATCTCGCATTTCCGGTAAGAGAAGCCCATGCACCAAGAAAAACAACGTTAACTGTCAACCTGATACGAACGGAGACACCAATAAAATTTCACATAGCATCGACGCATTTGATGCTTTCCACTCATTCCCATGCCTTCAAATGACGTAACCTGAGCTCTCTACTGCTGTCGTGGCATCCATAGCGGACTTTTTGGTCGTTGCTTCAGCATCAACTGTATTGCTACTGCTATCTTCTCCGGGGCTCTCTCGTCATTTAAACTTGTCCATTTCAAAGACCAAAATCCAAGCTTACATTAAAATTAAAAATTATTTTGATTGTTTGGATATTCTGCATACAGAAGCAAGCTGCTTTATCCTCATGTCTCTGCTGTCTGACTTAGCAATGGTGGTAACTGCTGCGATATGAAGTTGATGGATGAATGCATTCGATATTGCACTGGTTCCAGCGTATCGAAATTGGGATCACTTATCATTTCCAGAATGTCGCATTGTTAGACGGTAATATCTTACCGCAGGAGAGACGGGTCATTTGTTAAATTCATCGAACATTGGTCAAACTGCCAGCATGATTCTGTAGCATTTTGATCGCAGAGGAAGACTTTTCATCAGAAAAAGGCACTCGAGTCACAACATGGAAGGGAAGAAAATAAACTCGCATGCTTTTGCCATGGTCTTCACTGTGACCTTGACACAGATGAAGGGATGATAAGTTTTCATGAGATAATCCTGTGCCCAGTACAGCTAATTCAATGGGCAACAAGGAATGTGTTGAGAATGAACCAGATCATCCGGTTTCAGGACCACCACAGTCGTATTAAAGAAAACAGTTGCAGAGATGAGTGAATGGCTAAAATAATGTTGTCTTTGCTAACGTTGCCATTGTAGGTCAGGTCATACAACTCGATGACAAGCACCTGAATGTGCTGCATCATGATGCCACAAAAATGATACTTTTTTTTTCTCCGAGGGGAAAATCTTATTTCATGTCAGAAGTGTATTCAGATGGAATCCTAGTGCAGCAATTTTCAAAATGCTACCAGTATGCACACATTGTCTTTGACGATTGCGACTTGTAGCTCTAGACAACGTAAATGTGACTTCGCAATCCTGATATCGTCTTATTGATGAAATGATGATACATTTTATCTTGAACAGCGATGAATTAAGGATTTTCATTGCCAATTGTATGAATAATGAAAATGCCCTCAGTTTATAGTGTTGATGCATGTAGTTTCAAGGGCGACCTGTGCAAACGAAAAGCATGCAATAAGCCCAGGTGTTGCCATTTAAAAAAAATGCTGTTGCATACATAAAATAACGGCATCAGATCAATCTTGCCAGATGATGGATACAATGCACTCAAAGGATCCCCATTTGATCCATGATAGCTGTTCCATATAATTGCAGCATATAAATTCAGAGGCTATATCGTATCAACCCCTGCTACAACGTTCAGTTAGTTTGAATAACAAAAATGTGACTCAATGATACATCGGTTAAAATCACGGTGTCCCCAACACAAGCATGATCAGGATCTTCTGTTCTCGCTCGTTCATGAAAAGATTACAGAAAATCTCACTGCCACTCAAGTCCTAAAGCTCTCGATATAGATTTAAGCGTACATGTTTCTTGAGATGATTGGGAAGCGCTCTCTCATTGACGAAATAATCATCCTTTATTTGCACGATTTCGCCGCAAGTTTCCACGACTCGCCCGAGCCGTAGAAACATGCTGTGTAATGACTCGGATGAACACTCACGTAAGGAGCTGCGTGGTATCCTTAGAGACCTTGTACAGCCTCCGGGAGATGTAGTTGTTGAAGTCGAACAGGGCTTGAGAGATGTCCTTGTTAGGATCTATTTTCGCTTGATTCTCGTTGGCCCACGTTTCTATATACACCACCGATAGTCTCGTGTTCAGGCTCTTGAAATACTGGAAAGTCAAAAGAAACATCTCAAATTGGTTATGCTTTGATATTCATACAACCGTGTTCTTCAAATGACATGAAAAAAATTGTTCTCTGAAGTAACCCAGGTTTATTCCTGCATTCAACAGACCTCTTTCGCAATAGTACGATACCTCAGCACGAATCTCAGTTGAATGCATATACGAGTATAGGCACCAGTTCTTGGATGGGCGCCTATTTGTCGACGATTTTGTGTTTTCTGCCATCCAAAAATATATACACAAGAAATTTATCATATTGCCTGCTCCATGTTATGCGCATGCCAGTCAGCCACCATATAAATTAAGCATGAGTCAACTTAGACATTTTCGCCTTGTTTTAGATGTAGAACCCCTGAATTCCTTATACAGAGTGGGCCAAAAAATGCTTCGGTTATCTTTATCACTCCACAGCACTGGTCCCCAAAAGTCTGCTAAAATTGCAATAGCGCCTCCGTATAAAGCATTAATTCAGCTTTCCAATGATTTCAACAGAATAAAGATTCGTGACATGACCTTCATGCAGTTAGATAAAGTATAGGAGGTGGCATTGGAAAAGTTGGTACCATGCCGCGATGGCAACTAGCGCATGCAGGAGGTCGCCTACTCGCCACAAACGAAGAAATGGACGTCACCTGGTGCACACCTTATAGGGTACTGGTAAGTGCATTTTTCAAGCGCTACCTCAGTTACACTGTGGGCAACTGCATCGGAATGACGGATTGGATCTTAAATCTTTTTACATCAATGGAAAGCTAGATAAATCCATACTGTTTCTGAGTGTTTGTCCTTTATGCACGGCCACACCTCTGATCCCAATCGGACCAAACTTTGCATGGCTTACTAATTTGGTCCGAGCTAGGTGGCTTTTCAAAATTCAGACCCCACGGGGCAGGGCCGGCCCAGGACCAAATGGCACCCCAAGCGAGGAGCGTCTTCGATGCGTCTTCGAGGTTACATCAATGGTGATAGGCCCCTCAGAAAGTCAATATAGGGTCATTTGCCTATGCTTTCCGCAGAGGAAGAGTCAAGGTTGGCCAATTACATCAGGAAGAGCTCTACATAGTGATGATTTAGTCCTTACCAGTGAAGCTTTTCAAAATCAGAAAAATTTCGCATAACATGTACGAAAAGACACATAAGAACTAGCTTTGTGGGCAAAGAAGTTTCTTCATAATAGAGGATCAAATAGGCCGTCTACTAATAACTTACCAGAAGAAAGATGTCTTAAATTATTCACGAAGCGGAGGCCTGATATTTCAATGAGGAGGCCCGAGGTCATCGGAATTGAAAGGGTTTTGGAGACAAAAGATAAACTTTTAGTCTGGATTAATGACTTTAAACATTTTTGAGCGATCAGATCAAGGTCTCGTGGACTTCATCGGAGAACGCGCATCGGGGTTTCAACGGTATTGAGTTTAGCTTCGCCATAATGGCGCGGACGTAGCTGTGCTTGCCAAAGAAATGGGTGAAGAATGAGAGACTTTTCTTTCATTTTCATCTCAGTGACGATGAATAAAACTACTGCACACATTCCATGGTTATATCTTCTTATAAGGTCTATCCATGTTCATGATTGTAAAAAAACCTGTTTCGTCCATAAACTGGGTCCACGAACTGGAACCATGTCGTCCACAAATAGGAACGCCGTGAAAATCCACATATAGTAATTAAATACCTATTGAAAAAGTATGCAATCAATACTCAATTTTAGATGTATAACTATGATACGTGACCTCATATTGAAACCAAGTACGCAGTTCTCCGGGGACTCCAACGACCGTCGTACAATTTCCAAGATTAAAATTTCCTTAACCCGCCCACGAACCGGTGCCTTTACCCTATATCACGTGTAAAGCGAGAATAGAGGTACGATAGGGGGCCTCGAATTCCACTTGGATCGCTATAAAAGTCCATTTTAGAAGTCCAATATTCAGAAGTGCATCGAGATGGCCGACAGCCCTTTCCGCCTTCAAATCTCTTTCATGGGATTTTTTTTTACTCTCGGAGGCAAGAAGTGAGGACAAATGTTCCATCTCCCTTCGTCCCCTATTTCCGCCTATGGTTGAAGTTGAGGTCAAGTCAATCCATCATTCGATAGCGAGGCTAACCGATCTCATACAGGATCTCTGCGAATACGAGCTAGCTATTTCTCAGGGCAATGTGCTTAACACCATGCGGAATATATGTCTGGCGGGAATAGAAAGGAGCAATTAGAGCGAACCCACCCCATTCCTTTGAGAAAGGAAAGGGGGAAGCCATCACGACCTCGTCGATTGTGGGAATTCTCAGCTGGCATAACACCCTCAGAGGGAGGGATATTATGAGAGCGGAATGGCGGAGGGGTGGGGGGATAGGGGAGAGAGCATGCATCAGCCATGGAATTAATGCAACGAGGAGGAAAGGAGGAAGCACTTCGCTGGATTGCACCCTCCTCCGCAGGAACAAGTCCTTATTATCGATGATCAGGTGCCTCACACTTGCACAGAATGGAAGCGCATGGGATAACGATATAGATAGACAGCGACCAACAGAAGAGGGAGGAAGAGCTCGGCTTAGCCATAATCGAATGAGTTCTCGAGGTGGTCTATTCAGGACTCAATCTCAGCCTAATAGCCTCGCCAAACCTCATTATGGAAGTAGGGGATCTTATCCATAGGAATGTACGTCAATGTCGACTCCGACGGGGGTCCAAGGGGGAGAAGGGACATTAATACGATGGTCACATCGATCCCGGCCTCATTCTACCGCCCATAGCAGAACACGAACCCGCGAAAGGGTTTTTCTGTCTTCATCCATAAAAGGGGAAGACACATGAGCCTCGCTCCAATGCACAGAATACGTACTGCCACTACCATCCAATACTCAGTATCTTTAAAAGCGGAACGGAACTGAGATCCACGATATCACGCAGGTCACAGGAAGAAGAGCGTCCACATGCTCAAAAAGAATTGAAAATTTGTTCCATTTATCGAACAAGTATAACAATCCTAATTAGTTAAAACGAAATTTGAGATAATATTACTAACGAAATTCGCGAGTTTTTATTCAGTTAAGTACCGTAAGCTCATCCTACCAGCGAAAACTAACTTTAACACTGATTTTAGCTTCACCAATTAAAACTTTTTACCGGAACTCCTATTGACCCAATTAAAAGTACCACTCTGCCAAATTTAATTACTCAACTCCTCCTACTATCCGATATGGAACATCTAAAGCAGTGGTGCACAACCTTTTCCCCCTAGAAGGCCAAATTGAGATTTAGGCTCATGTTCGAGGGATTCGAGGGCCGCAGACTCTCGAACGTGAGCCGAAATAGGGCGCATATAAATTTGGATCTTTAGACACCGGAGGCATCCAAGGGGCCGCAAAAAAGGTCTCCGCAGGCCGCGTGCGGCCCGCGGCCCGCAGGTTGTGCATCACTGATCTAAAGAGATCTAACCAATCTTCCCTGTTTGGTTAAATGTGGCGTCCGAAAAAAAAAAAACATGCCACTCCGAAATTCCCCTTCTGGGAGTATGATCCCTTCGGTACCAAATGTCCAGGGGTTCCACCTCGACGTCCATAAGATGTGACCTTGAGTCTCGGAACCGCTTTGCAAACACGTATTTTGGCCCTTTTTCGTCTTCTGACATTCTGGTGTGACTCTCAGTGAAGTTACGAAAAAAAGGAATGGAAATGAACGTGATTTTTTATCGCTTTCACTAAATATACGAGGAAAATTTTTGGAGTTCGGAAACTATTGTTTTGTGACCGAATATCACAGCATGCTCAAGGTCGGGAGGTGCGTGAGAGCATCGCTCTTCCTCCATGCTTCACCATGAATTGCGTTTAATTTAGCTCATATATAAGAAACCCACATGCATTTTCGCCAAGGCAACTCGAAAAGTTCAAGAATTGGCCGAGCAGGCATGGCGCAGTCCAAATGGGATTGATAATTTCATTTACGGCGCAGTTATGCACTAACACGATAACATTTCTTCGTTATTGAAATATGCCTGCTGAGTGCAACGACCAGCCTCGATGCATCGAGAGACAAGAACGGAACGAGGCTGGAAAACACACTGACTCGCATCTCCGTGTCTCGTCTGATCGATACGCTGGCTCCGCGTCTCGTGTCCATAAGCGGACCATCGTTTGTCTGATTCGATTTATCGGTGCTGCGTGTCCCAATCCGCTCCCAGGGGGGAGAAGAGAGGACTCGGACACTCCCCCAAGAATTTCTTTCGCGAAATCACTCATTTTTCATCCGCGTAAATGTGACTGGATTTCCAAGCAAAGTCGGTTATCTTCGTTATAAGTTATGATATACGTCCTAGCGATTTCCAGAGACCGAGACAAATAGCATTTCAAGCTTTGTATCACCTTGTAGCTTATACGAAAAGTTTCATTTTCAACACAAAATGCACGCGAATAGCATTCGTATAAATCCATTAATCTAAAAAAAAAGGTGCATACCAGCTGATCTGGCCTTCAGTCTCTTCATATGAAGCTGCGAAATAAAACATCTAATTATGTATATCATGCACGTGTGTTCTGCCGTGTGCCTTTTGCATCAAATATGATTTTCCCACAAATAATGGCTAATGTGAGTTAATCGGCAGAGGATTGCATAAACGGTGAAATTCAACATAATACATTACCATAACCGAACAGCGCTATGGGGATGATTTCTTCATTCTGAATCAGATGATCTGCGAGCATTTTCAATGGGATGCACGAATCCGAATCAACATTTCACAAGAAAAGACACTGAATGAATAAGGTGGATCTGGATGAATTTACTTCCCATTATCCAAAAACAACTCTCAAGCGATGGCTTCCATCAGATCAGGAAATATGAAAGTGTGCATCTCGGGGCGAGGATTCACACATCATCCCAGTCAACAATTTTTCATCGGGCCATCGATGGCTTTTCGTTGACGCGTACATAAGCCGTAGTTGGGCCATCGCTGGCATATGGTTGGTTTAAGCCGGCTTATAGTCGGGCATGTCCTGCTAGTCTTTCATTGGGCCAACTTTGGCTGTTGGGAAACCGCACATGCCCCAATCATAAGCCGACTTTTCACAATGGTGAAAAAGTATAGGAAAAAAAAGACAAAGCGCATCTACTGCACTATGTACCTGGAGTGATAAGAATCCATCATTTGGCCCCCTACTGCTCTTTCATTTGGTAGAGATGAAGGATCAGGACCTTACTTGAGTACCTTACACAAGTACACTCCTATCGCCATGAATATCCCAAGCATCCTTTCGGATGCTAAGGCATCCAGAAGTGGAATCACATGAGAATGCAAGGGTATCTGTCCTCCCGCAGGAGACCTGACACACCTTACACGCAACAGAATCTAATAAGGTCATTAAGTGGAGAAGAACCAGTTGCGTGGCCTATCGTGGAAAGTAGAATGATCCTCCCACGGACTTCCGGGCCGGAATTTCCTGGTTTATTCCAGGGCTAGGTTACATCTTCATAGAAACGTTTCGAGGAATTCAATTATCTTCCTCAGAGATCTATGTGAGAAACCATTGGGAACTCTGTCAAAGGACAGGGGACTCATGTCAGTAGAATTCGGGACGTGACTCCGGACTACGACCACTTTGGCTCCATCTCACGCCGGTTTTCGGAACCTTCTCAGCCACATTAGCTCATCGACGAATGATTGGCCGGTCAATCATTCGCCAAAAATGAGCCAACTTCCCCAGCTATGGCCCGACAATAAACCAACGAAAATAGTTGACTTGGATGTGCTTGAGTTAATTAAACAAGTAAGGAGCATCACATAGGAGACATTTCTGCTCCAGACAGAGAAACAATTAAATCAACTTGCTTTATGACTTTAGGAAGCTATATTCTCGATTACTCATGTATTTCTTATATCTCACTGCTTGAGAGATCAATAGCACAATTGGGGGGGGGACCACAATTATGCATTATGGTCCCCCCCCCCAGCGACCCATAAATGTCTAGTACGTCCTCAAATGAAACGGCAGTGCGATTTTTATTGGCTCTCCGTCAGCACCTTTAGCTCATTCTCTCAGAGAATAGCCTAAGCACTTAATTCGGAGAAAGAGAGTGAAAGCTTAAATGAAGACGAATGAACTGTCGGATCACTGCTTGAAAAAGTGGAGGAACTCTTTAGTTCTCTTAGAAAATCTCGCTGCAGACCAAGACCAGTCCAACTACACTGTCCGTTATTGAAATAGGAACACCAATACGGTTTTCAGCGATATTGATGAATTTTTATTAGATCAAGTTGGAAACGCACTCGTGCATTATGAAACCTATGCGAACCTCAAGGGTATTGAATCACAAAGAAAGGTGGATGGGGGGGTCCTGTTAATAGCCTTAACGAAACACCCAGGAGTTCATTAAGAGAATGTGGAACAGTAGCTTTTAATGGTGTCTGGAAGACTGGAGTAAAGTTTCAGGATCATTGAGTACGCGTGATGAAAAGAAAACCTGCCGTATGTCAGAGGAATGGAGAGAGAGGATAGCGATAACTTTCTTTTCTTCCATCCTCAAGCTGCATTTTATTGTGCTATTGTGGAGTGCCTAACTGTGAAGCCAAGGCGACATTTTCGAAGGCAATTTCGCCAACTTGCTCGAGCGTTTGATCAACGTCGGTTAACTTGGATGCATGCATCAGTCGGATGCATTCTAAGCATGCCAATTGATCACCCTCACTTTATGCCAGTATTTCACCAATGTCAGTCAATTGGGATGTAGGCATCAACCTGATGCTGCACCCCGATGCATGCATCGAGATGATGCATGCTAGGCATCCCAATTAACCAAAGGCGACCACAGCTCGAACAAATCGGGAAAATTGCCTTTGGAAACGTCGCGGCACGGATTCACAGTTTAACAATGGCACAATCGGAAAAGTAGCTTGAAGGAAGAATGAAAAGAAACTAATCGGTGATACCACCCTCTTCTTTCAATCGGAGGGCATTGAGTAAGTTTTCCTTGTGCAGCTCCAATCTATGGTCTTGAAACTTCACTCTACTCCTCCAGAAACTATTAGAAGATCCTTTTCCACATTTCATTATTGAACTCCTGAGTGTTTAGGGTTTCCTAATCCCCCTTTACATTAGAGCGAGTTTCCTCCGCGAAGAATCATCTAGGTCCTTGAAACTTTAAAAGGTTTTGTAACGCACCGCTTGGAGTCTGTGTACCAAATTTTCATTGTATCACTTAACTCCTTGGTATTGGAATTTCAAAGGCGGACAGTGCATGTCACGAAAGTCGGTTCTCTTTCTCTGTTGCGTGGATGTTCATATACTCCGCTTCACGAATTCCCTTTTCTAATTAAATTGAGACCACCTCCTGCGCGACCGTGATCGGGTTCATTATTTAAAAGCCAAAGCGGAGATTCATCACGCTCTCGTAGCATTACAATTATCTTATTACCTATCACAAAGCTGCATCCAGCATACTAAAATCCCTATCACGACCCATCCTAAATTGATTACAGCATTACGTGAACTCAACCAAGAGGCATTGCATAAATCCTTGCCCCCAGAATAGCCTTGCCCAATCAGCAAATGGGAGAAATGTTCTGAGCATGATGTCTGCTTATAGAGCGCTATGAGACCGTATAACGACTTGCAGTAGGATGAGTGGAACGTACCAAATCCGCTATGTTGGCGATCTGGATTGCGTCGTGGACCACCTCCATCCGCGTCGTTCCATTCCTCCTGTCGAACTGCAAGATGAAAATCCCAACATACCAATACTCCGCCTCCCTATAGTCTGATCGAGAAGAACCGGGATGTCCGTACCATCGCTTTATCGACCACCAGGGCCACTTCCACGTATTTGGTCACTTCTCGGATGTCTCGTTTCACTCGCTCCTTCTCTTTCAGGCCAAAACCTTCCTCGACGTTGCTAGTTTCCGCCTGGTGTCGCTTTCTGCGCTGATCCACACTTCGATGTCGCTTCAGGCCCCATTCGGTCACACCCAAATTCGCACATTTCTGAGGCACTTTGGAGCTCGCATCGAAGAAGACATGTGGATGTTTTCTCTGGTAGGAAATATAGTATTCGTGAAATATATTATAGCAAATGCATTAAAACTTTTACAATACCACACACGCTAAAATTAGATGTAACAGTGTAGCGTGACATCATTTGAATATATGGGACTCGGAACACAGATTTATCAGGGATGAAACTGAGTTTGTCGGCTCGCAAAGATTTCACCAAGCATTCTCAGTCTCCTCCCATGAATCCCACAAACTTATGTGAAAAGGAATTCTGCCGATATTGTTCTACTGGGATGGGATTGAGAAGATGGGTACAAAGGATGATAAAGCCAGCACGGGTAATTAGATTACACTATAGTCCTACCGTAGTGTGTATAAAATACTTCGGAGGCTCTTTGTGGGGGTAGGGAGAAAGCCTATTATGTAGACAACACTAGGTAAACAATCCGGAGTGAAATTCCTTTCTTCTCCGCACCAAGGGCAATGCTTGAGACTTGAGAATCGGAAATGAAATCCTTCGACTGGGATGAAGATGATTAGGGGAGAAAGAGGAGAAAGTCCCCTCAATAGATGACTATGAGGATGTAAGGATTCCCTCGTCACCTGATCTCCTATAATATTATAGAGACCGACCTGATTACCACAGGCAATGGGATCCCCCCGCGAATCGGTCTTCATTATCAAGCTCGGCATCCCGGGCAAGAACCTATTGGTCGCGAAACCCGAGCTGTCTAAAAATAGCCACTTCTTTCTATCTCCCTGCTTCCACGGGATCTTTTTCTTTCCCTCATCCTTCTCTCCCTTTTCCCTTTGAAGAGGGGAAGGAAGAGGGAAATTATTCTAAGCCTGATTGAGTATCATTCCCAGGCTCTTCGGATTCCCTGATTATAAACCTGGAGTGCATTTCCTTTCGTTCCCTCGAGACGAGGAGCTGAATAATCATAAAAAGCTTCTTTATATTTCCTCCATCCTTCTTTCCTTCCTTTCACAATCATCTCATAAAAAGCCCATGATAAAATCTATGAAGTTTCGGGAACTGGGTCACAAAAAATGCAAAAAATTGAGGAACTCGGAAACATCGAGGAAAGAATAAGAGAATATCTGAATGACAGATGGAGGAAGGAGAAGAAGCATTCATCTCACTCGGACATTCCATGGACAAGTGGATGTCCGTGGCCCAATCTCAGCCGTATATGAGATTTAGACAACATTCTTTGGTCAAGGTCTTCCTTGCCAAGTGATCGATTCCTGAGACAGGTCCTCCTCACGCATGGTTGTCTTCGGCCTGGTGTGCATTATTTCCTTTCAGAGATACTGCCTTTCTTGATTGCATGCGGACTAATGGCTCGACTGGTGTGGCAGTAAAGGATGGAAAACGAAGGCGCAAGTTTCGAAAATTAGATTTTCACGATTGCACGACAATCGATTCTGGTGCGCCTCTGAAGAACCTGCATTTCACAGGGACGGAAAATATTACTTCCTTTCCGATTTCTTTCCCTGCACTGTCGAAAGGATGAATGTCATGGATACAGCACTTAAAATTGCCTTTTGAAGGAAGGGTTCTGTGGTGCGGCATGATGGAAATATATTTCAAGCATCGCGTGGCATTTGACAGCAAGTTTTCTTCTCATGAATTAGGACATTTTTCTCAGTCTCGTCTAATAAGATCAAGGATAAATGGACAAAGAAATGGACAAATGCCTCTTGACCAGAGAAAGAACCTCACTGCTTGCATAGCAGACCGAAGCTCGGCATTTAGACAAATGTAAGCAGAACCTTTTTTAAAAAAATTCCACTAAGAAACTCATTGCTAAGCCAAGTCTATAAGTTGCACAGTTTCTAACAATAACAAAATCATAGGTATCCAACTCTTGACTATGCCCCCCCTCCCTCCCGTGACGACTTGAGACCGACTGAAGTCCAAACACTAAGAAGGATTTCGTACATAGCCCTTCGATCACTGTCGTCATCAAGAGAAGTATAAAGTTACCTCACCTATCACTTGATGAGCGATTCTTATGGGCTGAAAGCGATAGGTCATGAACAGAATGATCAATTATGGATGAGCTGATGCTCGCCTGAAACTTCGGGGGTTCTGATGGAGGTCGTGACGAACCCGATTCCAGCTCTGGATGTAATGGAAGAACTCCAAGGATGTAATGAAAGAACTCCCCTTATGCATAATGAATCGCAGTCGTCATTAGAGAGCCTAGCTTTTCTTTCTTTCTACTCCCCTTTACAACGCTGGGTGCGAGGCGAAAAAGAGGGACGGAATCCGGATGAGATTTTGATGGGAGACAACGCGCGACCATGACGTCAGATACCCTCCTCATCTTTTCCTTCTTTCTGCCATTCTCTTATTTTTTTCTCTCTCCGGAAACATGAAGAAGGGGTGAAAAGGGCCCGGGTGAGAGGACAATGTTGAGGAAGCCGTTTGGGCAAATGAGGGGCTGGAGCGTTGTTGTTTTCCACGCCATTTCACGAGTTTCCTTGGTTTCTCTCCCATCCATCTTCATGTCTCCTTATCGACCGCTTTGACCTCCGTCTTTCAGCCGGGAACCTTGATGGTTCGATACTCTCTCTTGAAAGCCGACTGGGAATCCATGTGAAGGTCGGTGCAAGAATTGATATGGTGAACACGCTAGCCGCGTTTGTTGCCGCAACTGTGCTACCTCCAAGAATGTGCAGCAGAGATACAAGGATGTAGGATCATCGTGGCAAATTCAGTATAACATGGGGGAAGTGGTAAAACCCCAAGCAACCGAAAGTTCATCAATCCATGAAGAAAACGGTTGTCAAGATGAGAACGTAGGAGAGTCCCAAACACTCGGCATTTTGTGATTGGATGGAGACAAAAGGGGATCGATAGAAGATAAGCTCTAATGGTTGGAAGCGCGCGTCATCATTAGTCCCAAGAATCACGGGTCTTGCCTTCTCATTCCTTCAAAGTTTCTCTTCATCTCGAAGTTCCTTTTCGATATTTTTTCTCTCCATTCATCAACTTTTCGAGGACTTACGAACGAGAGACGAAGAGAGAGAGAGAGAGACAGGAATAAAAAGTTTTCGCGTAGAAGTACACAGTCATGGAGAGTTATCAACACGAGTCAGGAAAAGTTACCAACATGAGATTCATCCTGCATCCCGCACGCGGAAAGAGATCCACGGAATACAAGAACATTACATTCATGCAGAAGTTAAACTTCCTTAGCAATCACGAAATGAATGAGGTACGCAATGAAATGAAATGAATGTAAGAGACCTCTGACCTTGTGCTAAGTCATGCTGCAGGCAGGTACTTGAACATGAACATAATTTATTAGCCTAGATTCCGCCCTCAAAATGAGGAAGGAATATAATTAACCAGTTCTTAATGAGGAAGATCAATATATACTACCTATGAGATCCGTTTGCACCTCGCTGAGGGGCACAGCTGACGGTGATATCGCTGCGAGAAAGCTGAGAGTTTGGTGCCTTCTTTGGGCATGTGCATGAGATTGCGGATCAGCATGAAACACCATCTTCGAGTTTCTCTTTCAGAGCAGTTCAGAGATGGCGTTTCGGTTTCAATACCATCTGCAGGAAACGCGGGCTAGAAGTTTATTGACTTTCTGGCAGATTCGAAAGTCTTCTTGAGAGAAAAAGCTACCGCAAATTTACCGAAAATTGGAAGGCCATAGAGATGGAGACATCAATGTATATTTCGGAAGGAACATTAGCGAAGCTAAGTTGAATCTTCTGCATAATTTCTTGTTGACAGCTTCTACTTGAGTTGTGATTAATAGGTCTGCATCAAAGAAGGTTATGCCTAAGTACTTGGTTTCTTTCACCGGTATAATAGACCTTCATGTGCAGCTGTTCATTCGTCATCGGGATCATTTCCTGCTTGCTTTCTTTTGCATAAACCCAGAGTTTTATAACAGGAACGTCCTCGTTAAGGAATCCAGCGTGATTGAATTTGTGAAACAGCAGCAGATGTTTTTAATCTTTCCCCACGCTCACATGAAGCCCACCAAATACTCCCCCTTTTTTTTTATACATCTATGAAACGAAAAAAGCATAGCGATGGTTTACGAAGTATTGAGAGAAATAAGGATATTTGGCTGTTTGGCAGTTTCCTTTGAAGTTTGACAGCTTCGAGGATGGATTTAAGGCCGTAGAAGAGCATCGGTGCATGTCTCAAGGGGAATAGGAAACCAAATCCGGCTGAGGTGACCAAATCGAGACTATCTGGCTTTCTGTAACATAGAACTCCTAGATTAATAGAGAGGGGGAAAATCTCTCATATTTTCCCTCTCATCTGATGCCTTTTGGGGGAAACGCAAATGACCTGTGCCAGAAAACGCTATCAATAAAAGTATACAGTATAGGTGCATGTGCAGATAAACCTTTTGCCGATAAACCTGACGACGAGAAGCAGAGTTCTCGTAGCACTCACAAAGGTAAAGAACAAGGTCCTTTCGCTGGACTGTACTTTGAAAGTGAAACAACGTACCTCCAAAAACGCAACTATTTTCCGTTTCGATTGAAGGTGGAGATTCATAGTGTACACTCTGCATTCATTCACTCTGCTTGATTCCCCCTTCCCTACGTGGGCTGACTTTTCGTCATTTCTGTAGCACAAAGACTCTCGAGTGTGTTTCCGATTAGTAGAAGAGCTATATTTAACGACAAATTTCAAATACGAGACTCAAAGAACAGAGTGTCCTTTCTTGCCAGAGAAACAATTCGCAACTCTTCAAGATAAGACAAAAGCTTTCATTGTATAGAGATCCAGACAAGCAATCGCTGATGCAAAAGGAGTTTTACGCGTTCATCAAGGATTTATGCATCCAAGTCGCTTTTTACATCCTTATCGCCTTAATGAGCGATTTGAAACTACCAGGCCTATCTTCTCAGCCTAAGTTTTTCCGGATGATTTCGGCATGGAATGGGGATCAGCGAGAGGAGAATGTCATGTGGCACGTGGCCAAAGGAAGAGAGGATGGTTTCCAATCTCCTTACATCGAGGAGGGATCACGGAGGACAAAAAAGGGGGCATTGAATTCTGATCATCCAACAGGAGGCTACTCCGGTAAGACGTGAGAGGGAGAGAGAGAGAGAGAAGGAAAAAATCGTTGTATCTGTTCCTCGACAGAGGAGAGAGTCTAGGCGAGCTCCCTTTCCCCTGATTGGATCGATATCAAAGGGAGGGAAGGAAAAAGCCCCACTGTATACCATTCCTTTTTACTTCCGTCCCCAATCTTCCTTTCTGGGACAGTAGGGAAAGATCTTTGGGACCCCCTCACAAATCATTTCTGTCCGGACATGTTCAATGCATACAGGACCATCGTTGCCTGAAATGACTCGCTACCAAGTTTTCCGCTAACGGATTCAGTGCGCTGTATCGCTTCCGTTCGCGATTGGAGATGACAGTCCGTCATTATTGCATCGCGAACAGATCCATTTCTTGTCACCGAGTGCGGACAGATTCTTTTCTTGTCGCCGGGTTGTGACTAGGCAACAATCGCGTTCGCTATCTCGGTGAAACAGCAAAAAATACCATATGGTAAAAATCCCGGAAAAGTCTGAAAATTCTTAAACTCTTTGCAACGAATATGTACGAGATTTTTCTAACAGAGACAAGCGAGAGGAAACGGGTAAAGCTATCTCTTCTTGAACCTCGTAAAGATTGGAATCGGTAATTTGTGAGGTATGAAAGCGTGTCTTAATATCTGCGATGATGAATGTCTTTCTTGCGACCGTTCTTCATAGCCACAACAATAAAATGTCCTCCGCAATCAGAGGCCATTCATATCAGCTTGAGAATTATCAGTCTCTTATCGCGTCGTTTCCCCATGGGGACCATCTCATCCGGAACTACATTTTTTTTCGGATACCAAAAATTGAAGGAATTTCCAGGGGACAAACTCCCCTACGCTGAGATCTTTGGACTCAAAGGCGGTCAGAAGCGAATTAGGCTGAAGCACGGGGGGAATGAAGTGAAGTCTCATCATTTCCTCTTTTAGATGACGTCAGGCCCCGTAAACTGTATTACTCGCGTCGACAACTCTGGCTCTCCTCTCGGCATTATTCTTCTTTCTTTCAGCACTGCCTTCCTTCTCTGTACCCTTTTCCACCCTGATGACCCCAAAGAAATTACGATCCCTGACGTCATGTCGAACACTGCTGGGCGCATCATTAAGAGGTGATGAGGTTGTCAGGTAATTGATAGGGATCCTTTTGTCTCTCATTTGTCTTTTGCTTCTCCTTTGAGAATCCACAGCTGACCCATTCTCAGGGTCTGGGTGGTTGTGGGATCGAGGGGGACATTTCGCAATGGATTTGCGTCATTTTTCCAGGAGAAATGTCCCGAAGGATTTTTGACGTTTGAAGTTTCTGGTTTTCAAGAAGTGCCATGGCCATAAGCTTTTCGTCATGAGCTCGAAATCTAAGGGGAAGGGTCGGTGAAGGTGGGAGTCAAATAATTTAAGGGGAAAGGGGTCGACAAATGTCATCTAATAGAAGTCTTATACAGTGCGAGGGGAGGTTAAAAAAAAATAATAAGGGGGGGGGGGTAGTGATTACATTAAATGTACACAGCCCCTTAGCTACAGTCTCAGTCTCGTGCAGAGTTCTTTCCGTTTCTCTCTCGAGAGATCGTAAACATTCTTTTAAAATAATTTTCAGATTATTCAGTATACTTTTCACTTGTTTCAAGTGATGAAATTTACCTCTTATGAAGACCTATTTTAAAGTCACTGGGTTTGAAGCAGTCGAAATTCAACGCGCGGGGGAACTCTGAAATTTTCGCGACTCTATGAGAAACGGTGAGACTCTAAGACACTGAGATGAATACAAAGTGTGTGTGTGTGTGTGTGTGTTATACGGTAGCATGCATGCAAGAGATCAAGAGAACGAGAGGACTCACCGAGAGATCACCGCCGACAAAGGGTTGAATGACGAAAGTTTCATTCCCGAACTGGAGGATCCCACTGACGCCGTTGCATGTACGAAGGGCTGCTATCGCCCCTGGGAGTTCCTTCACCGTCCCGTGGTAGTAGCAATGCTCGATCTCCTAGTAGACAGAAAGGACCTCAAAAAAAAGTCATCCTCGCGGTTCACTGCATAATTGCAGGGAAAACAGAGCAAATCAGAGTACAACGTCTAGGTCGCAGTGAAGTGGGACTGGCTTCCAATTCGTTTATCCTTCAATGCGAACTTCTCAGATTCTTCAGGAGAAGAGTACAATCCGAGCTTTTTCTCAGCATTTGTGCATCAATTCGATTATACAGTATTATGGCCAAAATTACGCGACTCTCCATACCCTCTTATTCTTATAGCCAACCATATCCAATTCTAAAAAAATTTGAAGTGGGCGTTCACAACACAGGCGACTATTACCTCCTATGTTAAACTTCTTATGAGATAAATGCCAACTATTAAAGCTCCCAAATGGAAACATGGAGGGTCCTATGACTCTCTCGCAATATCTCATTCTCGTTAAACTCTAAATATGCCGAATTCATCCAATCCTTGGTATTTCCTCCACGGTCATTGATTCGAAGGAGGCTCTCTCTAGGACTAGATCCCTAGATTTCCTCGATGTAACATTGGTACATTTGGTCTATTTTCGGTAATGTAGCATATTCTTAGCATTTTGGAGTGCATACCAGCTGTATATCATGAAGTCACATGGATTTTGCCATTGTGTGATGGACAGGCTCCTGCCAACTGGGAAATATATGTCGTAAATCTAGAACATGTCAACAATAGCCAATGCACAAAGGTATGATATACATTGGTGCGATGATTTTTATTCTTCTGATCCGTTGGGAGATGCAAAATAGGACTCATTTTCAGTCGCTTTGTTCTCTGGAACTGAGAAATGGAAGCAATGTTTCATCGTAACAACAATGACTCAAAGCTTTCTTTCTGATAGGCCTAAAGAATATGAAGGGGGTGTTCCATAAACCGATTATGCCAATTGGCATTACGGCCCATAAGGACTGCAATGCAAACGTGCCGTTAGGATTCAGTGCAAAAGTGAGATAGGAGCCGCTTCTCTTTCACGACTCTATCAGACCTGGATTTTTATTCAAAATTTCCGAGATATTTTGAATTTCTCGCAATGCAAGTCTTCGCGTATCGGGTCCCCGCTTTAACTCGAAAGCTCATTTCGTTTCACTTGGCAGCAGGTATAAAAATTCTGTCTACTCCAAAAAGATGGATGAGTGCGTAAATCGTGAGTAAGTAAATCCATTCTCAGCAGGCACTCGTCCAGAAAAGTGATTTTTTGCTCGAACGGGAATATGGGAAGGAGCCAGGAGTCTCAGCGAGTAGTGTTATCAAATGCATCTAGAAACAAGAGGAGAAAGAGACGATCAGCAAGAGGAAAAATGGGCCATGTTTTTCCCCCCATGGACATGGCGACTTAACTTACGGATGAGATGAGAGAGTTTGTCCCCAGCATTCTGTAATTGGATTTTTCTTCCCATCTCCCGGATATCTCTCGAACGGACAAGACCGTTTTCCTCCTCATGGACATAAACACTCGAGAGGAATGGGAGGCTTTCCCCTCCACGCCCAAGTCCCCTCCCTCAACAAGACATGCTCGTGAGATTATCAAGATTGATCGATTTCAGCTGCTTGTATCGCGCTATATAAAAAAAAGTTCTGAACTGTACTGCTCCATTTCGCAGGTCATTGAGGAATGGGTTAAATTCGTTTCGACTGCCTGTGGTGACATCCCCGGGATTGACATTTCATCCCGAACGAGGGCCGTTATACGAGTGATGGACAGAATTGGATGAAAGGAGAGGAAAGGGAAAGAATCTGGAGGGATCATGGAAGAAAAGAGCTTCAATATATACGGTCAAGAGGAAAGGGAATGGGAATGGGGGGAAGATTCCTTTTCAAGAAGGATGCTTGAAAAGGCGAAGGATTCCCTGATTACGGCATTGAGTGCGTCATGAAACCCTATTGCCTTTCCCCTCCTCTCAGACACGTTAGACCAACAGAAGGGCTCAAGGCCCCAAATGCTTTCGCATATGCTCCGTTCGAGCGGACAGGGACTCGAGCAAACATGGGATCGTGTTTCTCGACCAACATCCGGAGGTCGGTACTGGTCATCCGGCTCTCCGGATGGTCATTTGATGAGAGACTATTAACCCATGTCATATAAGAATACTCTCATGAAATTATTTTCTATTTTTAGCCAGCCGGCACTTGACGTCATCCAAGAAAAGACGGAAAGGAAGACAGATTTCATCGATCGTAAGTTTTAGGTTTATGAACTCCACAGAGCAAACTTTTCCTGGCACGCTTCTGAAGCCGATTCTCCTCTGATCAGGAAACTACCAACAAGCAGACCAAGCGAAGATATTCTTCGACGCTCTTTTCTAAATCACTAATGTACACTGTCAGGGACTTGAGTTATTGGAATGTCTCTTGTGCACGGACATGACATTCCACTTCTTTGTTCGTTTGAAGGGCCATAGGGAATCTGCCAATCCCACAATGAAGCCTTTTTTTTGTCCTCTGCATATTCGAAGGCTTCCTATAGGCAATATCAATTATAAATGTCACAGACCATACCAAATCAAGCAATCACAAAGTAGACGGAGAAATTTCCTAACCCCGTTGTACAACCGCATTCTCTTTTCAATATGCGATACGCGTACTGTCATGTGCAGTATCGGCGACGCGACAGGGCGAAATAATTATGCGGAGGCATTTCAACGCTTAGCTGAATTTCATCTCCTTGTATTCGGCTGTCATCGTCGAAGATTTTGCCGTTCGACGGTGAGTAAAGCATTTTGATGGAAAAGCCGAGCGCCGCCTCCTGTCTGTCAATGTTGCGGGATTATCTGCTCCATCAAATGGCACGCGAATGCGGGAGGAGGAAACGCAATGCTCATCAAGGATAATTTGGCCAATTAGCTTTTTGATGTGCGTGACGTAAGCTGCCTGGAAAGTCGATACTAGCCGGTTTAGGTGAATTCAAGCCTGCGACTCGGGCCATGAGGGATTCAAGCCTGCACCTCGGGTCGTTGGGGATTCAAGCGTGCGACTCGGGTCGTTTCACTGCGGCGACGTCGTCAGAATTATTAATCCATGAATTACTAGCGTCCCAGGAATGGGATGCTCGAAATTTGCACCCTCCTAATTTGATTGTGTCCTTAAAATGCTACGAACAATTATATTGATGCAACCATGAGTGTCTGATGCTATGGAGTGCAATTTGGAAAATGTCACCAAAGTAAGTCATTCATGTAAAAAAAAAAAAAGCTTTAATTTAAAAAATTTCAGGAGGTTCAAGATGTCACGCCAAAGTTGAATGAAAATGGATTAATTAAATATTGTCAAACCGGAGCAGCGTAAATAGTTTTCCACGGGAAAGGTTACGCTTCTTTCTCGTGTGATAATAATGGAAGAGGCGATGGAAGTGACTCGAGACGAAATAGATAAAAAAAAGCTTTGAGAGTTCTTTGTCAGTAGAGGAAGAGGAGAAGGAGTAATGAATCCAGGCCGAAGGAGAAGAGCCCCATTCAAAGCAATCCTGGCATACAACGGGAAGAGTCAGTTTCTTTTTCCTTTCCTCCCTTTTCCCTTCCTTCTCTGGAAAGCACTCCGTATATTGTGAGGGATCATGGAGAAACGCGTCGCACTCTGGAGATCTTTCCACTCACTTCGCACGGAGTGAGCTCCTTGAAGATCCTCACGATCGAAGTTTAGCTCGAGTTCTCGGAGGCTGAGGAGTTTCCATGGCTTGGGTATCAGTTCCTGGAAGGCCTCCAATTAATGCCTAAGAGCTTCCGAGAACAAATCATCACCCAATAATGAGGTTTCATTTGTAATGCCAGTTTAATAGGTTTTTCCTCCAAGTCTTCAGGGACCAATCAAGACCAAACTCCTCATATCGGCTCGTTTCGACGAAATAAGTCGACAAGAGGACAGAGAAGTAAGTTAAATGAAATCCCAAGATTTGCGAGTGCATGTCACTCTCGCATAGTGAAGACAGATGAGCGGGGAGCGTGAAGCTCAGCAGGAATCCTTGCGTGAATCCGCCATAGGCCGGCACACAATTCAATCACGAATCCTTCTTTCTCTTCTCCCTTTCTTGGTGGTTTTTCTTTTGTCTCCCTTCTCTTTATAGCCGCCATGCTTTACCTTCTTTAGACAGATCCTTTCATCTCGAGCCTCCATCCGACCAGAGTGATCGCCTAGACAGGAAATATATGGGCACGCACTGTCAATTTTCTTCCTGATTTTTTTTTTACCCCCTGGGGTTTTCCTCGCTTTACTCCGAAGTTTCCAGATGAAATTCGAAGGATTCTATTCATGATCCATTAGTCTTCTTTCATCCATCGGCTTCCGTTGACTTTATCTTCAATAGGAGTGTGAATGTGAAAATATTTGGTCTTCAAGCAATAGGGCTTTCGACATTGCCGGCGCCTGAGAAGGTAAATCTTGGATTCATCGCAAGACGAAAATTTCAGGAAATCAATACTTTCTTATTATGGAGATTCTTGTCTCCTGCTCTTGTTGATTTCCCTTGTGAATCTTGAATGAAAACCCTCTTTAAAATGAGGTACTCAAGAGTTCCATGGCTTCGGACCGGAATGAAGCAGAAAAAATAACTTTATCTGTTCGATATTAGAACTTTAATCTAGGCTTTACCAAAGTGGAAATGCGAGCCAAAAATAAAAAAAATTGAAATAATTACAAAACGATCGCAAATTTCTTCGTTCCCCTTCAGGTTCAGAATTATTGTTAGTTTTTTTTAGAGACCCTTTCCTTATGAATAATAATATTGTATTGGAACACATTTTTTGTAAGTTGACTTGTTACGAGGCTGATGAATCATGCGCGGATCCGACAACACTGGGAATCGCACTGTCCAATGTCCATGCTCCCGAAGGTGATAAAGGCGCTTCTTTGAAGAGCAGCAAGCGCGATTGAACTCATTTTTAATGTTCACAACCGCTGTTGGTCTGGTCAGGGGAGACAGATTTTCCCCTTGTGGAGAAGCTGGTCAAGAAAAATAAAAATAAAAGGCCAGCCGAGTACAAGGAC